TTCTAAAGCCTCATGTGTTACAATAGACAATATACAAGACTTACTTTTACAGTCAACCTTTAAGGGTCAATTAAAATAGAAAATCTACTACTACTACTTAGAGAGTAGTAGTCAATGGGTCACATTCTTAGGTAACTTTGAATTTGCCTAAATTTGCCTTAGGAACATGAAAGAGAAACAGTCACTTGGAGAAGTATGGTGGAAAACATTCACCAGTTGACAGAAATAAGCATTATATACGGTTGCTGATTAGTTTCCTAAACCTGACATGGTACCATTCATTACTGGGCTGCAAACTAGATTACTTAAAATGCTGCAGCAAACCTGAAGAGCACATTACTGTCTCACCTAGAACTTTGTTTCTGCAGACCTAAGATCAGGGACCTCTTCCTGAGACTGGTCACTCATATGATGGTCCCTGGGGGTTAGAAGACCCTGTCTACTGGGCCGCTGTACACAGCTTCATGCACTTGCCTTTTGCTTTGTAAAGGACACTTTTTGAATGATTTTTTTCCCCACTGGATGTCATTAAGTATCATTGCCAGGCATATGCACTTTGGTTGCAATTGCAAAGAGGACCATCAGAATAGAGAACAACCCTCTTTTACTGCAAATCACTGCCTTTTTCTATCTGTGCTCCCTCAGAGATTCCCACCAGTGTCCTCCACATTGTTTGACTACCAGACTCTTGCTGGTGTGAGCCCAGAACTATGGCGCTTTCCTCTGTAATGGCAGGAATTCCAGTTACATAAATAACTAAGTAAACTATACCAGAAGAAAAAGACAGGAGCCATGCATTATTTCAGGTAATTGTATGCCTTTGCCAAGACAGGGGAAAGTTAAGTAATGCAAAGAATTCTAAAGAAGCCTACTGTTCTGCCCCTGCTTAAAGAGGAAGCAGTGTCCAAAAAGGAAAGCTGAGGATAAAGGACCAGTCACCATTATTATTTATGGTCTCCTTGCAGATGATGTTTCCCCCATTACTGACTTACCATGCCTTGTTCTGCACTGTCTCTTGGTAGAAGCAGGGTTTAGTTTCCTCATGTCAGAGCTTCCAGAAAGAATAGTGAGCAGCACAGTAGTGACATCACCAAATCTAATTCCACCTCAATACTGGTAAATACCTTATATCATTATACTGGAAGCCCTTGAGGGTTCTTTCAGTGAGAAATTGGCTCCTTCGGGTGCGAGAAATTCAGTTGAAGTGGAGGTATCAATGTGTAGACAAGTACTCTGTTTTATGAGACTTGGGCGTTATGGATTGAATTTACCTCCTCTGACACATATAAGCAGTTGATGGTGTAATTCTTTTGGTCATGATTGAACAACTAGTATGTTTCAAAACTGATTCTTGCACTGCTTCATTGGGGATGGACTGCTCGAGTTTGATGCTGTTTTTGCCCCCATCTTCTAGGTGGACAAGGGTTCTTTGTTCTTTTATACTGGTTTCTTTTTCCTTTTTTTTTACTTCTCCCCTATTTTCCTTATGCCCTTTTTTCTCATTTCCCCCTTGTCCCTCCCTCCTATTTTAGGGCTGTTTGGACCCTTGTAGGCACTGGTACTGAGTCCTTACTTGGGGCCATTTTTGTCTGTATTTTTGCTTTGTCCTGTACATTATTTTATTGGCATAATTTCTACAATATTACACTGGGTTAGCTGGGATTGGGTGTTTGATTTTGTTGGGGCACAATGTTGGTGAACGGTATCCTTTCTAATGTAACTGGATTCCTATTGGAGTCTCATGTTTTTACTAATTTCTTGTCATGCTTGCTCTAATGCCTATAAATAAAGATTTAAAAAAATCTAATTCCAAATCTCCTGAGGCAGCAGTACCTTAGATCTTACACTGCAGATATACAGCCGTAAGGCTGTAAGCACTGGAGTACAATAGGCACATTTGCATGCCAGGGAGTACACTGCTATTTCTCAGGAGGAATTAAAGACAAAGGGGTTGATTTACTAAAACTGGAAAGTGCAAAATTTGGTGCAGCTCTGCATAGGATCCAATCAGGTTCCAGTTTTTTTTGTCAAAGCTTAATTGAACAAGCTGAAGTTAGAAGCTGATTGGCTACCATGCACAGCTGCACCAGGTTTTACATTCTCCAGTGTTAGTAAATCAACCCCAAAGTCTACCAAGTGGTTCATTTGATTGATACAGCTATGGCGTTGTATGTTTGTTTGTACCCTAATAAAAAAGGTAAATGTGAATTTGCTGAAATCACTGCATATAACCAAAACATAGAAAGAAAACCAACAATACAGATGTAAGACTTGATGGTCTATTTCAAATGTTAAACCAAAGAAATGTAAAGATAGCTTGAATTTTAGTACAATAAAATAAAAGCATAATGGATAAAAATGTATACATAACAGGACAAAAACAACTGTTGAAGATGATGTTTTAATAAAAGTCATATATCTTTTCCTTCAATATATAAATTTGGCTCCTAACTTTGCCAGAAGGAGGACATCTAGACAAGTATCCATTTTCTTGTCATTTACTGTTTGTTTCTTCTTTATAAACATGAAAAGCAAAAAGTCAAATTAAAGAATAAAAACAAAGATAAAAAACATCCGCCATCTCCATTAAACCATTTTAAAAAATAAATTTAGCAAATTCCATTGACAGAAAAATATGACTAATTTTTCAGAATTAACATGAAAGTCATGCAGGAACATCTTTATACACATGATCATGTCTGAAAAGACCTGTCAGCTTAGCAAAACATATGTGCAGTATTTTTCCTAAAGAATATTGAAATTGTGTTCTATCGCTGTGTTACGCTTTGGATATCATGCCATAAAGGTCTCAAGCACGTATTTTGTAATGATAAAAATTGCAGCGTGTGAGAATAATGGTGCATTGCATTTAGAAGCCTCTTTGACATAAAGTATCTAAATATGAATATTGCTGTACGGGAAGGAGATGCATAGGAAGGAAAGGAAAGGACCCTTCCTTAGAAGCAAGCTACTGCTGAATGAAAAAAAAATCCACTGTGCCCAAATTGTGGTATTTTATTTTTCAGAATTTCTAACACTAAGTAGAGCGATTTATATATTTTATTTGGCCTTCCAATATATTTGGATTTCTAGTGCAATAGATACATTTAATTAAACCAGCTATCCTGATTTCATACTGTATGCATCTGATCAAAATCTTAGCTACAGTTAACTGCAATGAAGAATATTACACTAATTTGCAAAAATGAGTTGTTCTGTGGACATCTGTAGCTTTTTTAGTGAAAAGGCCCATATTTAAACTAGATCCTATAGAGCCCAGTTTGCATGGTCCATACAGATGTAACTATGGCATTTATACTGACCAGGGGAATGGCAGCTTGTATTATAAATATGCTTGCTAATGACCCTAAATATGACAGGACAGTCCCTGTCAAGGTGAGCATGTTATCTCTTATTGACAGACGTACTAAATTCAAAGAATAAAGCGTTTCCTAAGCAGAACTACCACTTACAGTAAATGAAAGCCATAATTATCTATTATTTATAGGAGGGTCCTAAACTTCATTCTGGTTTGTCAATGTACGCTTTAATATTTAACATGATTTGTCATTTTAAAAAATGCTGTCCTGGGTATTAAATTAGAATTACAGCCATGTAACAGGTTAATGCCCATTTTACCATTCTAGCTGCCATTTTCCAATGGTGTAAATGATACTGTTAATATTCTACTCAAATCACAGGAGGAATTGTGCTGTCAGAATAAATACATCCAATTAGCCAGACAGTATACACGTACACTTGGCATTGGTTTATGCTACAAAGACCCAGTACAGAGACCCAAAACAAGGAAAAGATGCCATAACAATTTAAATGCTATAAAAGAAAGGCCTCTTAAACGTAAAGGCAATATAATACACTCCATCAATGAAGTGCCTATGGTCCTGAAACTTGACTTTGTAGACTATTGACACTGTCTTAACACTGTAACTGGTAAATTAGTGTTATTTAAATGAATCCCCACCAACCACACATGACACAGCGCCATTTAAGAGAGTGTGGAGTTTACAGACTGGAGTATGTTGGGGTTTAGGAATAAAGAATGATCATTTCTAGTGTGTTGTAGATTACCCCTTAATGGAGTTCTCCTTTAAGAATATTAGTTTTCACCACACATGTGACCTCAATAAAACCACTCAGCCTCCAGACTCGGGCATTAAAATGACCTCTAAACTCAGTGGTAAAGTTTCAGTAGTAGGTACATTATCTCATATATCCATGATACAGTCTTTTTGTTAATGCACAAACATGCAGGGTTTTTTTTTTCATTTATATCATGGTCCTCAAATTAAATTTGATAGTAAAGCATTAACACAACATCACTCAATGGGCTTACTTACACAATAGTACTTAGATGTCCTATCAGCATTTGATTACGAATCTCAATAGTTCACAATAGTCAGAATAATGCAATCTAAGATTGTCTGTTGAGATGCTGTTTTTTCTTAGCCTCAATGAATGAAGGACTATTTAGAATCTAGATTCTGGCTCGCTTTCGTTTTAGTTATAGCTCCAAATATAGACTGGTTGCAGATATGAATTACCTATGGAAAATTATAACAATCCACATAACTACAAAAATAATAGTGAAAGTAAAAAGTATTTAATAGAATTGTCTTGGGGATTTGTTGAAGCTAAAATGACAATAAGAGCATAAAAGGCCTTGATGAGTTCCTATGCACATATGTCAAATTATGCAATATCATATGACACCATTCCTTATATAATTATTTCTCACACTCTGCCATTATTTGAGTTCATCCCAGATAAAGTGCTTTGTGAAACTCATGGCTAGGATACGAAGACAAAGGATTAAGTTAACCCATATGGAGTGTTCAGTCACTCTCAAAAGTCATGCGTTGACAGTAGCAGTCTCAGTGTAATGTTGAGTCATTCCATCTGTTTCTGTTGAAGAAGTCTTGTCTGTAGGCTTAGGGGAAGAGTTGAAAGCTCAGCCCGCTGCTATAAATGTTTGCGTGGCATCACTCCTGCTGAGGAGGCTGTTGATGATTGGTTGATGGTTCTCCAGAGGGTGCCTCTGCCTCTTCATCAGAAACACCTTCAAGATGGTACACTGTACGTATGGTACGATGAGTGAATTGAAGGGGTCCCCTCCTACAACAGGAAGAGCGATTAAATTAAAACTGTGTCTTTTGTTTTTAGAAGAAAAAAAAAAAAAACAGGTCTAATATATAATGCATACTACATAATATATCAAAATCCTACATGCTTCTGTTCTTTAGATACCAACAACCATTTTCTTGTGCACAGATGGCATTTCTGAAAAAAGCGCGGTTCTGCAGGAAGAATGTGATTTGCACAGAGATTGTCAATCAGAGTACCAAACTGGTTGCATGTCTTTTTTTTCCTGAACAATGATTATTTTGCCTATTGTAGTCTCTATTGACACTTCATGGGGATTTGTGAACAGATTCAATGGAAATTAAATCCAGTTAAATTAGTATTTAGGTTGATTATTTTCCCTCATATTAGTGGTTTTCCCACATGGTTATTGGGGAGAGTGGAATTATAATGTAAGAATTCTTCTAATGCCTAAAACATTACTCTAAGTCAGGGGTCTCCAAGCTATGGCCCTCTAGCAGTTGAGTAACTAAAAGCCCCATTATGAGGCATCTTCCTCTGGGAGTCATGCCTGTGATTGTCAGAGTCTTGCACTACCTCACTGATTGCAGTTCCGAAACAGCGGGAAGGCCCTAGTTTGGAGTACCCTGCTCCAAGTACTGAAAACTATTGATTGTCTAATGCCTCCCTCAGATATAAGAATACCAGTGAAACCTTTTTTTGGTGCAAAATATTTGATAAAGAGACTCTTTTTTTTTTTTTAAAACAAATTTATTTTCATTATGATGTCACCTGTAGCATTCACCTACAGTCCACTGGTGTTTTGGAGGGATCAGCTGGAGGCACTAAATAACATCCTTGTTATATGGGCACTCTCTCAAGATGCAGCTTCTAACAGATCTGTGCATGGGATGGCTACCAGGAGCATTTTGCTGATTCTTGTGGGCAGTTCTTTGGGTGGCCATGTATACAGCAGCGATGAGTTGGCTTTACTGGAAACCGCACATCTACTGGAACAGAAGCTAATTTCTTTTAACAGATTACGTATTTTAGGATGGGACACTTGAATGTAGGTAAGATACAACAAATTCTATTCAAAATACTGTTAAAGTTTTTGCCTGAAAATCAGCTTTAATATGTGACCATCAATATCCAGTACCACTGTCTGAATCCAACATCTGAATTTAAGCTGGCCATAAACGGATCAGAATTTGGTCAGTTTAGCTGGGACCGGACAAATTTTGAACAATCTATAGCTGTTTCCCTTAGAGAGAAGTCAATTTCGATTGGGACAGCTGGTAAAGCTGGGTATACATGCATAATGTGTTTTCATTCAGCTTGTGGGTGGATGGAGGAATCCTCCTAGTAGGGCTATTGTATTCTGACAGCAGGACATCTCTGCCATTCATTGTCAGAATACATTGGACAGTGCTGCAGCCGCTGTTCCAATGAAGGGTTTCCAGCAGTCCCCTTAGATGGAATTTGATCTACCAATTGACTTCTGTCAGACAGGGAGGATCACACACCCTGATGAACTGGCTGAATTTGATCCATGTGAATCCAGCTTGAATTTGCGTTCAATCAGTGCCTGCAGCAAACCGGCTGCAGCACTAATCAGTATATTCTGATAGCGTACGAGTCCCGCTGTCAGAATAGCGCAGCGGGAGGATTCTTCTATCCACTTCAACTGTGTGGATGGCCCACTGGCTGGTCAAAAAAAAAAACAAACAAACAATCTGTGGCCAACTTTAGTGAGCAATAATTCTATAACCATACAGATTGAAACATTGTCTGAAAATGTTGAAAGGTCTATAGATGCTTTTCTAATTTTATTGAGGTTCCTCTGGGAAAGGAAATAATGATTATTATCTAGAATAAGAAAAGAGGAATTTTGTGTTACCACCCTGCATGGTTTACACTGAATCAAGAATTTAAACTACATAAATCCATTCATTACCCAAGTAATTGTTTCCTAGATTTAAAAGACAGAAGTAGGTCCACTAAAGTATCTACTAGACAGCTGAGCATACAATGCAAGACTCCTCCAGCTGAGCCTACCTGCACAGAAAACAGGCAGGTTCTTTATTTTGTTCATAGACTGCACTTGACTTTTACTAGCAAAGTAAACATTTACAAATGTTTGAAATTAAGCCTTTAACGATAAGAAATTTGACTCTCTCATCGTTTATTTCTTCTTTCAAATTACATTTCACTGATGTTTTTACTATAATTCAGATACCTTTTGAATTCCTGGAAATAAAAATGGAGTGAAACCCCAGGCAATAATAAGATTCAAGAACTAGAAATGACTGAGCTACAAAACAGAAACTCATGTAGGAAGCGTAATAAGATAAAAATGAAGCCGCCTAGCTATAAGCCGGTTAAGCTCTCTTTTAAAGATTGCATTACCATTAGATAAGATTGTCTTAAAGCCCAACTCCCACTTTTATTTGCACCAGGGATATGCCCCAAAATTATCAGTGTAGCTCTGCTGTACCCAGATGAGCAATAATTTATTTCCCAGTCTGGTAAGGTCTCCCTAAGCCTGGCAGTTGACTACTCCTGCCTGCCTCTGGAAGAACCTTCCGGAAATAGAGTAGGAAGGCTAGCCACTGGGTTATGAATATTCATTTGAATTCAGCCAACACCTGAGAGGGAGGCCCTGAAGGTGTGGCTGGGGGTGAAGACAAATGTTTGTCCCTGGGAGGCAGCCTGTGTTACTGGAGAGCTGTGGCCATCAGGCCTCAGGATGGGCTTGGTTGAGGTCCTGAAGGAGCCTGGATTAAAGTGAATTTGCTGGAGGACACTACTTTAGGAAGCTGGGCTGGATAAGGACCCCTTTCACTGAAGAGTGTCACAGGAAAGATGATTGGGGAGCTTCTCTAAGCATTGTGAGTGGGACCTTGTGTCTAGAGCTTCAGTTGTTCCTGTGCTTTGAGGGTTAGATGCCAGTGGTTGTTACAAGAACTGTGGCTGTTCTTATAGAGTCTCAGACTAGCTGGCTGTTCTCATTACCTCCAGCAATATTTAAGGCTGCTACTGAAGGACTTAAAGCGATTGTAAATCCTCACTTTGTAAAGCATCCTATTCAGTTTAAAATATACATGAAAGGCAAAATATATGCCTATAGATATAAAAAAACATTATTATTTACCCTTTTATAAATGATCACATTCACACAAAGGAAGCAATGCAACGAGAACAGGATACTTTTTCACATACTTTTTCTTTTTTTGTACATGGTACAGCAGGCACATATCAGGAATATGAAATGTTGGGTTTACATATTCTATAAAAATCTGTCCTCTAATGCTTGTGTGTGTTTCAGAGTATCCTGCACCCTCATCCCTCTATCCACTTGTGTTCAAGTACTGCAATAAATCTTCAAAATGATACCCCTAGCCTGAGCCAGTGTTTGTCAGTGTGCTCCGGGAACTGGTATCTGAGCCTGGAAGCCTCTGAACAGGTAAGTGAGACCTGGGTTATTTCAATCTGCCCCTCAGGGGTAAACACCACATCAGAAATCACTAATCCATTGTCATAAATACTTTATCCATTCTGTTGTACAGGTCAACACTTTCTGATTCCTCCACGCCACTTCCTGTTCCATTGTCATTGAAACTACAGACAGTGCATTATCATGCTTCAAAGGCTTATTTAGCAGCACCTTGCAGCCATGTTAGACACTGCGTTTAGGAAATTTGGGTTCCAGACAGCAGTGCACACACATATGTGAGGACATACAAGTCCACCCACATAACGACACGGGAGCAGGGGAGAAAGATGTAGTGGTGCTCATGTGGCCACTACTTTTGGTGCGATATTAGATTAATCAATCTGGGTACAATCTCGTGTAGACAACTGTGTAGTGTGGGGTTCTACCTACTGAATCTTTTAATTTATATATAACTTGAAATAAACATATATATACACACACACATATACATACAAACATACTAGATTGCCAAAAGAATTGGGACACCTGGCTTTACACGCACATGAACTTTAATGACATCCCAGTCTTAGTCCGTAGGGTTCAATATTGAGTTGGCCCACCCTTTGCAGCTATAACAGCTTCAACTCCTTCTGGGAAGACTGTCCACAAGGTTTAGCAGTGTATCTATGGGAATATTTGACCATTCTTCTAGAAGCGCATTTGTGAGGTGAGGCGTTGATTTCAAACGAGAAGGCCTGGCTCACAGTCTCCGCTCTAATTCATCTCAAGTGTTCTAGCGGTTGAGGTCAGGACTCTGTGCAGGTCAGTCAAGTTCTTCCACCCCAAACTCGCTTATCCATGTTTTTATGGACCTTACTTTGTGCACTGGTGTGCAGTCATGTTGGAACAGGAAGGGGCCATCCCCAAACTGTTCCCACAAAGTTGGGAGCATGAAATTGTCCAAAATGTCTTGGTATGCTGACGCCTTAAGAGTTCATTTCACTGGAACTAAGGGGCCAAGCCCAACCCCTGAAAACAACCCCACACCATAATCCCCCCTCCACCAAACTTTACACTTGGCAGAATGCAGTCAGGCAAGTACTGTTCTCATGGCAACTGACAAACTCAGACACATCCAGCAGATTGTCAGACAGAGAAGCGTGATTCGTCACTCCAGAGAACACATCTCCACTGCTCCAGAGTCCAGTGGTGGCGTGCTTTACACCACTGCATCCGTCGCTTTGCATTGCACTTGGTGATGTAAGGCTTAGATGCAGCTGCTCGGCCATGGAAACCCATTCTATGAGCTCTCTACACACTGTTGTGATAATCTGAAGAACGCACAAAGTGTTTAGCTGTTGACTCTGCAGACAGTTGGCGACTTCTGAGCACTGTTCCTTCCCCTACCCTGCTCTGTCTACCACTTCGTGGCTGAGTTGCTGTTGTTCCCAATTGCTTCCACTTTATCATAATACCACTAACAGTTGACCGTGGAATATTTAGTAACAAGGAAATTTCACAGATGGACTTATTGCACAGGTGGCAACCTATCACGGTACCACGCTTGAATTCACTGAGCTCCTGAGAGCGACCCATTCTTTCACAAATGTTTGTAGAAGCAGTCTGCATGCCTAGGTGCTTGATTTTATACACCTGTGGCCATGGAGGTGATTGGAACACCTGAATGCAATGATTTGGAGGGGTGTCCCTCCAAATCATGGGCAATACAGTGTGCGTGTATACTTTTGGCAATACAGTGTGCGTGTATATATATATATACTATATATATATTATATATATATATATACACACATACATACTTATTCCCCCCCCCCCCCCCCCCCAGATAGATGGTGTGTAGCCTGCTTTTTAAGAAACATTGCTCTTTATAACTTGGCTCAAACCACGTAGATACAACCTAGCATAACAGATAACAGATCTAGCATATAGCATGACAATATATACAATAAAAATGTGGTATTACTGCCAGACTTCAGGAGTATGCAGGAAAACATAGAAATGATCACAAATAACTGCACTGCAAATAGCATACATGCAGGAATGTGATTATCATGAAGGCAGATTGTCTATCCGACTCTACAACACTAAAGCATAAAGTAATTGGATGAGACAGCTGTCTGCAGCCTCAAAGACTGTCATCTGTAGACTATAAATCCATTTCCTAAAATGACCAGTACAGGACTTTAAATAAGACACAGCTTAGACATAAAAAGAAAACTGACATAATTTTTTTGCACATGACCCCAAGTATGCTAAGCTCAATACATCAGTTATAAGCCACTGCTGACACAATACTAGGGGCAAGCATACAGTTTGTCTAAACTGCAGGTAATTTTGCTATTAGTTAACAGGGCAGGTTAAAGGGCATTGTGAAGAAAAAAAATGCAATTCTCCTACATGATTTAGCACCCTTCATGTATTTCCATATAGATTCCACCACCCACTGCCTTCTAACATATAATATGACATGTTGCTATCCTACAGCTGTTTGAAGCGCTTAGAAACTACTCTGCAAACATCATAATAACGTGATTCCTATGATGAATCTTTATATTTTATTCTGGTGCCACAATACCAGATAGGAGCAGCAAAAGGCACAACAGCCTTTTTTTTAAACTGATTTCTGACCTAAGAAAACATGGAAGAGTTCCAAACAGAAGAGATTTACTGCTATTCTGAAACCTCCTTTAGATTTAAGCAGCCAACCTGAAATAATTCCAGTCCACATGCAATCCTACATCTAACAGCGCTTCTGGCTCACCCTATAATTTCCAGGCCAAAAAATAACCAAATTCATCAGATAACGAGCCCTGGTAGTATAGCTTTACAGATAAGTTAGCATTTACAAGTGTCTACATTTTAAAACAAGATATGTACTGCAACTCCGGCCAGAACTTTTTTTGTAGCTTATAAATGAGTTGGTCAAAAGTTACGACAGTATTTTTATTGCTGTCTGTGTCCCCACTGGGAACCTGGGAAACCCCCACGAACAAGAACGAGAGAGTGTGAATATCACCAGGAACAGGTGAACAATAAAAACCTGACAGATTCTAACCATCCCTACGCTATTAAAAAATAATTTCAGGTATGGTATATTTTTACATAGTTCCAAATGTCCGGCTTGGACTAATGTAACTACGTATATTCATAGCTGGCCAATGCCACTGGAAGCTGGAAATCACTGAAGACCAGCTGCTCAAGTGGAGAAGGTGAGAGATGGGACCATTGAAGAAATGTGACTTGGACAAGTTGGAGAAATGGGGGTCACTACCCCATCTCTCCACCTTGTCCATCAGAGAATCTTCTCATTCATGGTTCCCATACTCATACTAAGCTGCCAACTTCCTGTGTTCAGAATTGTCAAGGTCCTACCTTTTTACCAGAGGTTATGTTACTCCATGTGCTGGCATCCATCTTGGATTTCTGCAGAGCATGGTGGGAATCTTTTATGCCTTCAGGTCTCTGAGGTCCATCCCCCAGAGGGGTGTGGCTGATGACATATAAGCCTGTGTTCCGCACATGCTCTTTGCACTTGTGTCTTTGTGTTGCTGTTACTCTGTTCTGACTCTCGTGACTCTCCTGGAATCTGACTCGGCTTGTGACCTGACCATTCTTTGTGTTCTCCTTTGATCTGACCCTCCGTTGCTGAACCCGGCTCGTGACCTGTGATTCTCGTCTGCTGTCCTGTACCGTTTTGTCTTGTTGTTGTTTGACCCGGCCTGTCCGACTACTCTATTGTCTTTACCACTAGCTACACGCCATTGGTGGCGGCCATTACCGCAGCTGGGGTGCCTCGGGGGCCGCGACCTGGTTCCTGGCTGCATCAAGTCCATCCCCACCATCAGGGGCCCTGGTGAAGGGCAGCCTGGGACTTAGACTCCGCGCCCTGAGGGACTTCGGTCTGTGGGTGGTGGTTGTCGTCAGCCTGTCACTACATTGTTATTAGGCCTGCCTGTCCGTTTCCCAGCTCCTGCCCTGACAAGAATGCAGCAGGCCGACTGTTCAGCAAAGGACCCAGAAGCTAGTGGAGATCACTGCAGTAGCAATGTCTACTTCAGGGATTTCCAGCTTCCAGGGGTACCGTCCAGATATAATACCTGGAATACCTGTAATTCATCTTTAATTAAAAAATATTTGTTTCAATTTCTTTTCCCATCAGAGATTTCCAGTGCTGCCTGTATTTGTGACATGCAGTCACCAGCACCGGATACAAAAGATAAAGCTCTTCAACAGGGTCACAAACAGCAACAAGAATCTGTATTGAAAACAAAAAAATGTTTTGGACTTTAATAAACCCTTGGCTCACAGATTGCTGGTAAGACAAATGCATACTAGAACCTGGGACAACCTGTGTTTTATTAGCACCATATGTGAATGTAAATCCTGAAGTACAAAGAGTTAACTTAAGTAAACTGTTAAGCGCGCCATGCACATCAAGAGGTGGATAGTGATAACTCAGCAGGGTTAAGCACAGGGAGCTCTGTGTGTACAGCTAGTCCTGCCCAGCAGGGGTCCAGCTACTGCTGTCCATAGACATACCATCTTTGAACATTAGACAGGGACTCCTTTGTGCACCGAAGGTTCACAAGCACCTGGACCGTAATAAATTTAGACATGTTTTTATTATCTTTCATAGCACACAAGGCTATGGAAAGACACAACTCTGTCAGACATAAGACAGGGGAGGGGGAAAAGCACGAGGAGATACAGCAAAAAAAGACAGTCTGTCAAATGTCTAAGAGGCAAAGATTAAAAATTAAACTTAAAAAAAAGAAAGTGGCAAAAGATCAGGAGGTGATTTCAAATGCTGCAAGGAATAAGTTATGTCTGACATCTGTGAAGTCATCGGGCCTCTGATTTAAATATCAATGTAATGTTATGTTAAAAGCGCAAAGCCATCATTGATATTTTAACCACAAAGAAATAACCTTTGTAAATAGAAATAATGACCTATTTTGCTTTAAACATAATAATGTAATAATAAAGTGTTAGCCTTTGCCTTCAGTAGACAGGAAAGCAACATACACATACTAATTTAAACAGGCAGTGCAATAATGTGCTGTAACCCCGATGTCACTCACAATTCTGTTTTATAGCAGATCCTTAGATGAATTTCTGCTGGGAAGTGATGAGCGCAATAAACGCCACCTTCTCAAGTGCTCTTTCAGCTCATGGTTCTCCAAACAGAGTTCAGAACTTTGTGTCAGTAGTGACATTTCAGCGACTCGCTGACTGCCATCTATACACTGTTTTAGGGAAATTTGGTTTTATGATGACAGAAATCATTTCTGCATGACAGTGGTTTTGCTTTTTTTAAGATATTCACTACTAAAAAAATGTTTATGTTTTGACTATCCTTCATATAGCATTCAAGTCTCTTGCATATTCCAAAAACCTGTTGTCAATATTCTAAGCTATACTGGAGTGCCTACATTTACAGCGATATTAACAAATCATTCCAAGTGTTTACCTGTCAGACACAAGTTTTGAAAGTTAACATAGGGAAACAAACAGAGGAGCACAGCAAAAAAGCAAATCTAAAAAGCATTGTTAGTGTGTCAGCCCCATGCAGCTCAATGCGCTGCAGAGGATTCTGGGGAGGTAGGTGTATGGGAAAGGTAAAGCAGCTTCTAAGCAATCTATATGTCACACAAACTCATGCATATGGACGTACTTGCGTTGTTGTCGCTCTAACTTGCTGTTGTTACAAGAGAATGAAAAGATGTAAGGAAAAAAAACAACTAATTAAGGTTACAAAAGTGACAAGGGCATTCTTTGAGTTCAGTGGTCCTTGTCAGTTGCTGAATATTATTGCTCCAATACTATGGAAAAAACAACATTTACCAACGGCAATAAGATATCCAAACTGTTAAAAATAAGGGTGGCATTCACAGCCCATGTTTTACAGTTATTTCCACCAAATATCCATTTTTTTTTTATAATTTTGGAAACAGTTACTTGATTGGCTTAAAGGCGATGTTTAGTCAAAACATTTTTAGAAAAATCAGCACAAGGGATGGTACTTACATTCAATCCATCCTCTGACTGTCCCCTCTGCACTGGTAATCTTCCTGTGCCACCTATCCCCACTCATTTTGCCCCCTCTTCCATTCATAGAAGCAGTACTACAACTTCCATGAATGAAAAGCGGTCTATGAATGGAGGATGGGAGAATGAATGAAAGGCCAGCCACCTCCATTCATAGATCGTTTTTCATTCCCGGTAGCTGTAGTACAGCTTCTAAGAATGGAGGAGGTGGACAGATAAAGTCGGAATAGTTAGGACTCCTGAACAGTGCATATGACAGGTTCTATGGGTTAATTAACCCCTGTGGCAAATGATTATAGCTGTGGGGTGGGGGGTGATTACTAAACTAAGTTTGCAGCCAGCAGCATAAGGGACACCTTTTTTTATTGATTGTAAGTACTGTCCCTTGTGCTGATTAAAAGAAAAATGTTTAAATAAACTTTACTTTAATTCCTGCCCAACTGTTGTATTATAGTGCTGGTTAGAACCACTGTTGGATTACCATTGCAGTCTGATGTAAACACAGCAAAAAAAAATAACATAAAACATAGTAGAGTGCGGCAATGTTAGAAATTGACAAGTTTTTATCAAGGTTTACATCTAATTGGGGAAATTCTCATTGCTTCTTGTCCTATGAAAGTGGTCATTAGGACAGGAAAATCTGCCTAACAGGGACACAGACTGCAGTAAATCCCAACAGATGTTCTTTTGCACAGCTGAATTAAAGGTTTTTGCTGGAATTTCACTTAGAATACAACATAATATAGTTCTGCCACCCATAGCCACCAAAATGGATGCAAGCCTTTGTTTTTTTAGCACAAAATAGCAAAGAGATCATTGCCATCTGATTGACAGATTAAGAAATAGCATTTAAGGTGTTTCTCAATTATTTATAGAAATGGCTTCTAAAGTAATACAATGGATGATAATTTGGTGATTCCTTTTTGTAGGATATATTGTAAAAATGTGGCCCGCTGCCAACACTTGTCTCAAAAGAATCTGAACAGAAAAAATAGTAATGTCTACCTGAGCCGGTTTCGGAGTGTGTTCACCTCCCGGTTCATAGACTCGGCTGACTCTGTCACATCTTCCAGCTCTCTTTGCAGCCTACGGCGGTTGGAATTAGCTCGTGATGCCTCTTCTTCAGCTTCCTCCAATTGGCGCTTCAGCTGCTTCATGCGAATGTGTGCCTTCTCAAGCTACGGAGGAGATGCATCAGGTTCAATAGTCAGTTTTTCCAGTTTTTGATAGATGCTGGAATACTCATTAGTGACTTATATTCTTTTGGAACTCTAATGGCAAGAGCCCTAAGCTTCAGCTTCAAGGAATACACACCTGCCTTGATCATTATGAAAGAGTGCTACAATCTACATTTTTATTATAGATCACAGAATATGCAGAAAAGAGGAACACGCTAATGTCCAATATGGATAAAAACATTCCCAACAACTATGACAGTTTGATCTTGAAATCACAGCCCCCAGGTAGAAAAGAAAAAAAAAACATCATATAATCTAGACATATATTTTATTTACAGTAAAAATGTAGTACGGAAGGGCCCAGGTTTCTCTCAGGTTTTATTGCCATTTCTATATGGAAGATTTATCGTCACTTCCCATGTGATCATGGGGGTGAAAATCAGTTATGTTTCAGCAGACAAAGAGGTTTGTACTGCTGTGTCCCTGCTGGAAATATTATCCTCACTTCTTATGTGGTCACCATAACAGAAAGTGAGGGAAATGTTCCCAACAGGACAAAGGCAGCAATGAAATCTTAAGTTTCAACCCTTCCCCACACCACCCATGGCTATTAAAAAGAGCATGAAAGGAAGTAATGTTCCATGTTTTCTACTCATTATTAAAGAGGTCTTCCACTCAAACCTATTTGTTTTTAAGCAGACCTTAACAACATATTTAGCACTGCTGTTTTTCAACAAGAGTACGGTGAAGCTTCAGGATGTTGCTTTTATTGGTATTATGGCTACTTGTGCCAAGCATGTGTCACACCCACTGAAGGCAATACGCTTCCAGAATGCAGCACTGACACAGGAACCAGCCATCATCCTTCTTTCCACTGAAGATCATAATGACGTGATTATCATTGAACTCACTTTACCATACTGTTAAGCTCCTCTAGTCAAAACTCAAACAACAGTCTTAGTTAATGAGAACTACGGTAAACAGACCTGGTCTTTAAACTGGTCAGCACTTCTTCTCTCTTCCTCTACTTGTAGAAGCACCTCCTTCAGTCTCTTCTCTGCACGTCGCACCAGTTTGTTTGCCAAGACTCGTTCCCTGGTAGGAAGGACAGGTAAAGTCACAGATCTCTAAAACAAGAGCTCCCAGTGCAATCCTCCTTCTAGGAAATTCTCCTACCATGGAAATATCCCAAACAGTGCAAGAGTGTTGGGTACATCAGGCTGTCATTGTACTATCAGGGTCTCATTGATCACAGACCCTTACAAGCTAAGAGGGGGGAGCAACATTAGACCTATGGTCTGTGTGGATGCCTGGATCAAAGTTTATAATCTGCTGTTACTGTTTAGTATTACTATTTTTTGATTCCTTAAAATGAAAATATGACTTTGAGTTATTACTAATTTCTGTGCTGTCTCCTGCCTCTTCCAAACTTTATATTGTGGTACTGTGCTTGTTAATGCAACACACTGTATTGCAGCAAGCATGGGTTATTGTGTTGCATTAGCAAGAAAAAGAGAAGAAGGCGCCTCTAAGTGCAGTATTGACAATTTATTTAGTAAACAATGGATACATTGCACTTACAAGATAAATGGTTAAAAAGACTCATCGTGTGGTAATTAGATCCAGGTGGGACATCCAACTGTCCAGCAGCAAACTATGTCTATAGGATCAGGAAGTAGAGTCCAGGATGTGCCTGTGCATCAAAATGAAGCTAGGAGAGCAGAGTCGGATGTAGGAGGTGAAGGGGACGGTAATGCATTTCTGAGCATACTCAATAGGCTCCTTCTTGAGACGAGGTCTGAAGAAGGAGCCTATTGAGCATGCTCCGAAATACATTACCGCCCCCTTCTCCTCCTATATCCGACTCTGCTCTCCTAGCTTCATTTTGATGCACAGGCACATCCTGGACTCTACTTCCTGATCCTATAGACATAGTTTGCTGCTGGACAGTTGGATGTCCCACCTGGATCTAATTACCACATGGTGAGTCTTTTTAACCATTTATCTTGTAAGTGCAATTTATTCATTGTTTACTAAATACATTGTCAATACTGCACTTAGAGGCCCCTTCCTCTCTTTTTCTTGTTACTGCATTAGAGCCTTGCTTCCACTCTAAGAAGAGCTGCCTCAGTGTTACTGCTCCCATGCATCCATCCCTGATATCCATCTGGCACCTTTATCTTACAGCTACAGAGGTTGGGCTCCAACAAGCGCACCCTATATATAATATACATTTATTGTGTTGCATTGCCACTCATTCTGAAAGGCACCCATGCACTAAGGCAACAGACCCATGTAGCAGTGTACTGCAACACATGGTAATGTACTAATGTAAGTTGTGGTGCACTGTGTTGAAGAAGAAGTGGCAAGGTTTGTTTTAAGTGCACTAGGGTGTGCAATGCTTGGGCAGTAACACACCACAAGTGATCAGGTGGCTTCAATTTCTTTCTGAGCCGCTAACATTGTAAGAAAATCAGGTGTACTGATTTCTCTGGCTGCGTGCTTTTTTTCTTGGTAAGAAACTCAGAAAGCACTGAGTCCATTAGATAAGCATGACAATTAGGGAGCTAGCATTATTTGAAGGAGGACATCAGTGACATCCTATGTAATTTACTTGGCAAAGCTTTCCTTTAAAGTGGTTGTAAACCTCAGACATGAAATAAATCCCTCTATAGTGTGCAGGTGTCTCAGTTGGGAGCACCAAGTTTCATTTCTGTCTGCTGCTTTATTCCTCTGCTATCAGCACAAATCTCTTATGACAAGTTTTCCTGACACCAAAAGAATAAAAGTTGATGGGGAGGGATCTCCAGCTCACAGCCTGTGTGATCGACAGCCTCAGCATTGTTCCTGTGTACTTTGCGAAGGGGGGCATGTCCCTTCCCTCCAATCAGCTCTCAGAGCTCTGCTCACTAAGCTTTGCAGTGTGTAATTTCAGCTCTCTGCCCGTTTTCTGAAAGCTCAGACAAGCTTTATAAATTCTGGATTTTGAATGGATGTAGAGTAGAGAAGACTGCAGATACACATTTACAACTTTTGTAGGGGGATTTGTTTTATCTCTATGTATCACCTGAGGCCAGTCACTTCAATGGGTATATGTAAGGGTTTACAACCACTTAAAGTAAAGAAAAAAAATACTGATGCATAAGTAAAGCAAGATGATTCACAATCATGTGGCTCTTGCTGATTTTAGTTCACATATCTCTACTGAAGTTCGGCTTATTTTACATGGAATTTGTCCAATCGGAAGCCTGAAAAGTCAGTAATGATCACAGTATTGGGTTATATACTGTAATATCACTGTGCAAAGATGGGCTCTAACCACACCCAGAGATCCAGCAGTTTACTTTCAGTTTCAGGCTATTAATAGATGAATTTGATGGGTTCTAACAAACTATTTTTACATTCTTTTTTAAATTCTTTCTTTAAATTAAAGACAATTGAACAAGGATTCAAAATCAGTAACTGCAGATCAAAAATTTTGGATGTTGCCCTTTCTGAACACTGTCTACACTCACTTTGATTCCTGTTCCATTTGTTCTTCTAGCTGAGCAATCTTGGCCTCCAGGGAAGCAATCGCAATCTTGTATTTTGACCTTACGCTGGAATCCATCTCATTTAATTTCACTTTAAGCTCCTTGTTCTGTCTTTCCAGTTGCTGCCTGGCATTTTCAGCCTTCTGGGAGAAGCTTCTTTCTGCAGCCAGTTCTGTAGTCATTGTCTCCACCTGTTGGAAGCATCAGATAGCGTTACAGACACTAAAAACAGTCTACAGACGCCCTCTGTCGTGTTCTTAAATAAATAACGATTTAAAAAATATAAAACCTCTACTATTAACAACACATAATGTGCCATGCTGAATTAGAGCTAAATTGTATTACATTTCTAATCACCTAGTAGCATGGATTAAGCTTTTGTTAAAATAAAAGCCTGTTTTGTAAAACCGTGAAATCATGATGTTGCAAATGAGAAAATTTAAAAAAAGGTTAATTTTATTTTATTAAACAGAGTAAAATCACCCATGCAGCTTAGCACTCAGGGCTCATTCACACTACTGCACTGACAACCATAAACCAACCACAGAGGAACTGAATCTAAAATGTACAAAAATCTCTTTATTATTAATACAGTCTTGTTAATGTCAGCTGTAAAATTCTTCTACATTTTCATACACTTTTTACCTTTTCATATAATTTTAGTGCCATATAATTTATGTAATGCTAAAAAAACATATCAAATGATGTTATCATATGTAGAGTAACGTATTTTAAATGATCAACAAAGGAAATGTTTCCGGTGATATAAACACCAAGGCTATTCCCCTGTGATTTTACAGTATGCCACTGCATATCAGCATGAGTAATAGATGTAGAGATATATACAGCTGAAATTATGCACAAATCTTGATTATTTCTAAACAATGAAGGTGGTGTTCTTTCCCACCACCTCACCCTATTGTTTAGTTAGGCTGCCCATAACATTAAAAGACCAATATGGAGGCTAGGGAATAGAAAGGGTGTGGGGCCATATTCAAATTCCTTAGGACATTTTGACACGCAGTTATCACTGAAGGAACTCCTATTTTTTCTTCTTCAAATGTTAAATTTGAATTGGTGAGGCTTGTGACAGTTTTATTTTAACATATTATGCACCAAGCTTTTTAATGTGTGAAAAGTGAAGGTGTTAGGATTGTTACAGAAAGCTATTATCAGTGCTCAGTAGCAGGATTGCTATACTGTAAATACATAAATATATATATATGAGTGTTCCCTCTACAAGCCTACACATTTTTAACCAGTTCAGCTCTCACACCTATACACCCCTATGGGAGCGAGCAATTTTCACTTTCTGCTATGGGCCTTTTTCAACAATAACTTGGCCATTACTTAACCACTTCAATACAGGGCACTTTTACCCTTTTCATGCCCAAACCAAATTTAACCTTTTTTGCACAGTCTGAAAGACAATTGTGTGGTCATGCAACAGTGTACCCAAACTAAATATTTATCATTTTTTTCCACACAAATAGAGATTTCATTTGGTGGTATTTAATCACCACTGGGTTTTTTATTTTTTGCTAAATAAACAAAAAAAAGACCAAAAGTTTTTCTTCATTTGTCATAAAATTTAGCAAATAAATAGTTGTTCTTCATAGATTTATGCCAAAATGTATTCTGCTACATTTCTTTGTGAAAATAACCTAAATTACTGTATATTATTTAGTCCACAAACTATGATATATAGCTGAAAATCAATCAATCCTGATGTACTGACGGCACTGATCTCATTTCTTGAGGCCCAGAAATATCAGGACAGTACAGATATCCCCCAAATTTTTGGAAAGTAGATGTACTGATGGCACTGATCTCATTTCTTGAGGCCCAGAAATATCAGGACAGTACAGATATCCCCCAAATTTTTGGAAAGTAGATAGCCTGCGCAATTTAGTAAGAGATATAGAAAGGTTTTTTGAAGTTGTAATTTTTTGTCATTTTTTGGGGAAAATGAAATAAAAAAACAACCATTTTCACATTATTTTTTTTCACATACTGTCACCATGCAGTACAGCGTCATCATATAACTGGTGTGGCGGTGATCAGGGACACTGACTGGTGACTAGCAGGAACTGGTTATATTTTTTTTTTTTGTTTTTTTTAGGACAAACAAGGCATTATTTTGATGGTTTTTTCTATGTAATCTATAGAAAAATATTGTAACAAAACGACCAAAACTAAAGAAAAAGAAGTTTCTTCTCATATTTGATCAGTGTTAGTTTAAAAAAAAACAAAAAAACTTTTTTTTTTTGCTTGTCAGATTGCTTTATACAAATGCAGATTGATCAAGTGCATCCCTTTGATCTGCATATGAATTAAATATAGTAAACACAAAAGTAACAATGTTATTTTGCATCTCTATCCCACATCTGAATAGTGTTTACAAACACTGTGTTGGAAGGTCAATTTTTAGGGCAGCTGCTGGAATAGCTGAATTGCTTTAAAATGTTTAATCCATTCCCTCAAACCAAAAGCCTTGTGCTGGTTACAGTATTTTGAGATTATTAGTTTTGCTATTATGATTAAAACCGGTATTTCATTTTTCCTGTTCACTTTAATATTTCTAGTATCCATCCCTTATCTATCCTATCTTCAATAGACTGCAGCAATACTATTATGGATTACATGCTTCCAGACACAATCAGTCCTGAGGAAATAACAATTTATAATTACTGTGTGCCAGTGCTTGTGGTTCATATGTCATCTTTACTGATACAGCAATGCATTCTTACCTGCAAGGTGTATTTCCTATATCTGTCATTAAGCAGCTCCATATTACTCTGCTCCTCATCAAGTTCTTCCTCCAGCTGAGCGATTCTTGCCTCCAGGGCCCGTTTTTCATCCATAAGAGCAGATCTACAGTGTTAAAAATCACAGTGCCTAAATTACTATACATACAAGTACTTGTCTCTGTAATATTCATTGCAACATAGTGAATTTAGGATTAACTTTTCAAACCTTGATACGTTTCTCACTTGGTTCTTTCAAAACATTTCCAAAATCATCTGGTCAAAATGATACCACTGAACTGTAAAGTGGCCTTGTACAACATTGCAAGGTCAGCTTATTTAGTTTGGCAGCCCTCCTCAATCTCAAAACGCAGCAAAAAAAACCCTAAGGGAAAAAGAACTAATTTACTTACTTTACCTTTAACCTGCTTCTGCCTGTAGTGCTAGGCAAGGGTGACATTACCATCCTTAAAGCGGAGTTCCACTCACCCTGTCAAAAAATAAAAGTCAGCAGGTACAAAAACTGTAGCTGCTGACTTTTAAAAAACAGCCACTTACCTGTCCCTCGGTCCCATGGTGTGTCCCCCGCAGCCCATTTCACTATCCGTCCTGTATTCCAGAAGGCCGGCATCTTCAGTGTGGGAACTTGGCTGTGGCAGCTTGCGGCTTCACAGCCGGGTACCCACTGCACATGCGTGAGTAGCGCTGCGCTTCATGAATGGTCCTGTAGTCTTCTGGGACCTGTCACGTGTCCCAAAAGACTACAGGGAGGGAGGGAGGACACCTTCCGCTTCTGGTCGCCTAGGCAATCAGACCGGAAGTGGGAGCGGGTACCTGTCAAATTCGGGTACCCACTCCCTCCCTGCCCCCCAACGGTGCCAATCCTTAATGGGGAGTGGGGGAGCAGTCCTTAAAGTGGAACTTCCCCTTTTGGGTGGAGCTCCGCTTTAAGGCGAGATCAAGCATATTGCCAAGTAGTCCACATCTTGTGACAGGTTGCTACTGCACTGGGCTGTACTGTAGTCTCATTTTGTGAGATTTGGATTACTCAACATTCCCCAGGATTTTGTTAGAGGGATGATAGAATCACGCCAGAGAAAAAGGATGTATATTAGCTAACCCCATTCAACCTCCCCCCAAGGGCAAAGGATAAAGTAATATAGACGTCGCCACTGAAAAAACAAGTAGAATCTCCCTTGACAGTATTATACAACATCAAACTATCAATTTAGATGCAAAGTGCAATGGCCATGTGCAAAGCACAGTAGCCCATAGCAACCAGTTCTCAGGTTATCGCAATTAGTTGATGAAGATGGAAACTGATTACCTTTCATGGTCTATATAAATATTTGGAAAATCAGATACATACTTGCCACTAACACCATTTGCCAGCTCATCAGCCAGGTCGTCTCTTTCTTGCTGGAGCTTGTCTTTTTGCTCTTTCTGCAGCTGCCAATTCCTGTAATGATGCAGGCGATGTTAACCTCAGTTTCCAACAATAAGCGTATTCATACATAGATTCCATAGTCCAAATTAGACAATGTATGTAGCAAGTAGACCCATTATATTATGCATTAAGCACACCCATGTTACTTTAAACTGGTACTGCCCACCATCTCTGTATAAAAGTCCCTGATGCTCCATACTGCTCCTTCTTTGACAGCAACCAACTGCACCAAGTGTTCACTGTCACTGACAGCCCAGGTCCCCACTGATAATCACCATGGTTCCCGTTCATTTGTTCACTATGTGAGCTATAACATGCAGGTTGGAGGCACTTTTAGGCTGCAGTGGTCATCAGCAGTGCCATATGTTTAATGTTGAAATTAAAATATAGTATTTTCATCAAAATATATTTAAAACATATTTAAAAAATATTAAACTCTTACGTTTTGTGCATTTGTCAGCCTAAAAAGAGTGTTTTTTTAAACAGTGTAAAATCAAAAATCCTACATGCCTCTTATATAATGTGTAACATTTAGATATAGAATAATTGTCAAGTTAACTGACGCATACTAAATGTGACCTGGGCATCTAGGCTTCAATGACTTTTGGGTGCATTATAGTTAATCTAGAAAACATGGCATTTTCTATGCTTGGTATATGCCAAGCAATCCTAAATGGAAGAGATGCTGTCCTATCCCTGGCCATGACAAACCTCTTGTAGCTGCAGGAGTTCGGTTTCTAAATTCTTTAGTCTCTTCTCATTTTCTCTAGACTGGATGAACATTTCCTCTCGAGATGTGCGGGTCTCTTCCACTTCCCGCCAAACTTCTTTCAGCTGGAGCTGTAACACAAAACATTCTCCATCAAAAATGTGATTTTAAATAATTAATAAGTACAAAAATCTAAATTCAAAAACAGTGGCTCAAATCAATGCAATACACTTCAATATATCTACTAATTGTAAAATGAAAGACTTGAACCTGTCTACCTAAATCTTTAACACTATCTGTGCCAGTCGTACAGTGAGATATCCAATGCTAGAGTCATGGACTGACAATGACCCAACTGCTCTCATTTCCTCCATGAGGAGAGTCCAGTACTGATTCTAATATAGATCTATGAAGTCAATGGTTTCTGTGAGTCCATGCAAGTTTTATCCTTGAGACCTGAAAAGGGGGAAGTGGAGTTGCCCTCGAAACATGTTGAATTGTTTGTATAAGATTTTTTTTGAAAAACAATTAAAATGATCTTTTGTATCCAATTTTGGCCTGCCACTCATTTCTGTATTCCTAAAGTTTCAATTAATAAGATCACATTAATACTTTTGTTGACCGTTTTTTTTTTTTTTTAAATCAAATATCCATTACTGTATTTCTTTCTAATTAGCCAATATATGATTAAAATTCAGAGCCAAACCATGGCTGACATGAAAGTAAGAGCACAGATGGCACGTCTGGGTAATTATAAAATAGTAATAAAATAAATTAAGGACCCTCACTTTCTGGCTCGTACAAATTGTCAGCAGGACAGTAAGTAAAGGTAAGGGTCTGTGTTGATGGGTTTTGCTCACTTCAAGTGGCTTCTGCTTTCCCCCCAAGTCAATGGGAATGCAAAACCCATTTGAAGCAGGTCAAATGCAGGCAAAAGGAGGTCAACTGCAGGTAAAAATGAACCTGTCAATAAATTCTGAAGGATCTCAGAAGTGTATCAAATTGATGCCAATGACACAATTCAAAGGTTCATCAACACAGGCCCAAAACCTCTTGCAGCCCGGATAGCAGTAAAAACTAGACAGGGTTCTACCCTTCCCACTCTATGCAACAGTTAAAGAAAACAAAACAAAAACACATTTTTGGCTAGACACACAGTCTAAGCCTAATAACTTAATGGTGTCAGATGGCAAATTTGTGCGCCATGTTTGGAGATGCTGCGGAGTACAATAGACAAAGGCATATTTGCTAAACACACACAAACCTGCATCATATCTTCTCTATGTTCAGAGCCCTATCTGGCAGATGAGCAGCCTTTTATTAGTTTTATGAAACCTTCAACCAAATTAAACTTTATATGATGAAAAATGAAATGAAGGGTCCATGAGGATTACCTGCAGTTTTTTCAGTTGTTTAACTGCCTCTTCCCGGCCCTTGTTAGCTGCATCAATTTGATTTTCCATTTCCTGAAGGTCCATTTCTAATTTTTTCTTGCCAGCAAGAATTTGGGCTTTCTGCTTTCGTTCTTCATCCAGTTCCACCTCCAGATCGCGCACCTAAAATAAAAGTGGAGCGTGAATTGATGACATGGTGTAACATCAACAGTAAGCATGACATTATTCTGGACTTTAATAAAATAACATACAAGTGTGCATGAAGAAAGTGTGCCATTGTTCTGGGATCCCTAACGATGGATGTTGACTATACATTACACTACTACAAATGCATATTCTAAAGCCTCTTTAGGAGTAAAACTAATGCTTTGATCATATAATCCTGATTCAGGTATGTATCAACAAAGTCCACAGACACTTCCATAAATTCTGTCCACCAAGGTTGTCTGCTGAGGTCTTAAGAGGTTCCTGGACATCATGACCATCACCTGATCCTTGGTATGTTCATCCAAGAATGGATGATGGTCAAGATGTCTGTATCATCTTTGGACTCCAGCAGGGACACATATACAGTAATTATGAGTACCTACAATTGACAATTAAATAATATGAAGTTAAAAGTTTTAATTAAAGCTAGACTCCAACTAAAACGTTTTTGTTTTGAATAAAGCGGAGAAGGACTAGAAAGTTTGTCATGTTTTTATTGCTATCTGTGTTCATGTTGGGGAGAACTATTTTGATTTACTGTTCCAATAGTGCATTTAGAGGGACAACAAATGATGGGAAATCTCTCCAACAGGCACAGAGACAGCAGCAAACTTTTTTATTAGTAAAGTGGAGAGAGTCTGTGTGTTTTTTATTGCTGAATGTACATTCATATTCCAGTAAGCCCTTTATGTCTTGTCCTATTGTTATAGGGTAAAGGAAAAAAAAAAGAAAATCTGCCCAAAGTACTCACAGACAGCAATATAAAACTGAGAGCACTGTCTAAAGAGAAAAATTTTTCCTCTTCACTGCTTAAGGTGGTTCTAACTGTAAGGCCCCATGTACACGGGACACTTCTGAACGATGGAAACTGACTGCTGGAAAATGTAGGTTAAAAAACATCTATTTAGCCGTGTTTGCATACCGCGTTTATGAGCATTTGCGTTTAGAAGCATTTTTTAAAGATAACTTCAGGAGACCTTCAAAAATGCCCAGAATGCACTGAAAAATAGTAAAAACATTTACTATTTCAGACATTTTAAGAGAAATAGAGAGAGCAGTATTTGCTGAGATTAGCTGTCTTTTTTTCTTTTGTGGTGTTTGGATGTGTTCCAGCTCATTTCTGTGCAGAAATGATTGCAGCAGTGTCTAACATAATTTCTTTCATGCAAAACCTCAAGGTATGGTGTACCAGGTCTATTTTTTGAGTACCCAGAAAATGCTTTGCCTGCATTTTTCATGATGAAAAAAGGCTCTGGACAGCATCTGGAAATGGAAGAGTTAAAAAAAATTTCAAACGCAAACGCTATAAACGCAGTTAGCTGCGTTTAGCCACATTTACACGTGTTTGACGTTTGAAACACTGATAAAATCTACTGCTGAACGCAAGTTTTCTGAGTTAAAAAAAAAAACGACTGTAAACTTAACTGCCTGTAAACGACTGTAAACGACGATGTGTATATGGATACATAGGAAAACATTAGGGAGAGTTCAGGGGCTGCTGAAATAAACTCTGAACAGCTCCTAAACGTGAGTTTATCAGCTGCAGTGTACATGAGCCCTAAAAAGGTTTTTTACATTAATGCATTCTCTGTATTAAGGTAAAAAAAACTTTCAATAGTAGCACCTCTCCCCAGCCGCCCCTTAAACAGTTACCTGAGTCTATTGTCAATACAGCACTTTCCCATCTGCAGCCGAAATTTCTCCCCTCTCTGCTCTCCCACATGCTTGGCTGAAAGTGATGGTAGCTGAGCTGCGCTATGCGTATTCTATGGGCACACACAGGCTGGCTCAGGAGCGAGCCCAAATGCCTGCCCCCATAGCAAGTAGTTTGCTATGGGGACAGACGAAGAAGAAGAGGAGTGGACAGCAGTGGCTGAGGAGGGAGGTAAGAGGATGCTCTGTGCAATATTCTTGCACGGAGTAGGTAAGTATAACATATTTTTTTCATTTATGGTAAAAAGAAAAAAAAAATATTATATAACTTTAAGACCTAGCGGAGAACACTTACTGCTTTAAGAGATCTAGAACCTTAACAGAGGTTGTATCTCTTCCCTACACCATTTTAAACCAAACAAAATGTTTTGGTTGCACTTAGATTTTAACTACTAATTGTTACAGAACTCAAATATTAAATAAAAAACAAAGTTAATGTAGAGCCATAATACTAAATAATACTTTTAGTAGTTTTCAAATTACCTGCTTGATCAGGAGTTTCTTCTTTTCATCATTGGAGTCATCGCGGTTTTGGAGATCTCTGTCAAACTGAGCTTTCATTGCCTGCATGTTGACTTCTAGACGGAGTTTCCCATCTTCAATGGCTTGAAGCTCATCCTCTAGTTCTTCTATGTGAGTCTTCATGTCCTGCACTTGTTGCTCTAAAGTTCGCTTGGCCCGTTCCAATTCATGGACCTACAAGAGTGCATGCATAGTGTTAAAAATGACATTCAAGCCACCAAGGACATATTTCGTATTTTCGTATTAATTCAGACAATAAATAAGCCATTCTTACATTTTTGCCAACATCATCCTTGGAGCTAACGAGGTCATCCATCTCTGCACGTAGCAACTTGTTTTGTCTGTCCAGTTCATCTTTTACATCAAGAGCTTCTTCTAAGGCTCGACTGAGGGACAAGACCTTTGTTTCCTTTTCACGAGCCTCTGCTTCCACCCTATCTCTCTCATCAGCATAGCGTCCTGATATGTTCTTCTCTTCTGCTAGCATCTAGAGAACAAATGTATCAATAGTGTTAAAAAATAGATTAGCCAACTACTATCCCAGTGATGTGATTTATATGCTCTAAATTATTTCACTGTCTTATAAATGATTCTCTAAGATTTAGAGAAAGGAAAGGATTATTTTTTCATGGTATGCAGAGCAGCTATACATAACATTAAAGTTGCCTTTTTTAGAACTTGTGTAGATCTTTTCCTGTCTGTTACCTTTGTAAATTTAAATACAGTTTTCAAATAAACAGTTTATATATAAAAAAGGAACTTGCGTAGATGAGTGAATGCAGTGTGCTTTCAAGTGCATTCAGCTTGCATTTGAGATCAGTTTCAGATGCTTAAATTGATTACTGCACAAGTAAGGCTCAATGCTTCTGGGTAGTGTTGGAGCTTGTCTATTCCCCTGCCTCCCCCACATTTCTACTGGCCCATCACAATGACCAACAGCCTTACTGGCCAATAGGAATCTGAGGGCGGTGTAAGGGGGCAGGCAAACACTGTCAAAACAGGGAAGTGCCAGTATATTACTGGTACAGAATGAACCCGGACTAGGAGTGTGCAGAAAGCAGTTAAACTTGCTGCAGGTATGTGCAGGTACCTCTGGGTGACTGCACTTTACCTGCTAGCATCTTTATTTTCTGTGTGTATGGTCATTTATTACATGTCAGTTATTATTTGTACATTATTTGTATTTACCTGATCGAATTTCTTCTGTTTCTTTTCCAAGTTTGAAACAATTTGTCGTTGATGATCCAAATCAACCATGAGGTCGTCCAGCTCTTGCTGCAAGCGGTTTTTAGTCTTTTCTAGTTTGTCATTGATTTGGTGTTTCTCGTCAAAGCGTTGGTGCATAAGCTCTAACTCCTTGGCCATTTTCTTCTTGGCCTCTTCTAGGCCATCCACAGCACCTCCATGATCCTCCATCTTCTTCTTTGACTCAGAAAGCTGAGGATAAATCATAAATCATATGAGACTCTGTGCAAATTGCTGGCCATGCAAAACATAAAATTGTCATCCTGTCTCCAGGCGGAGGTGGACTCTTTATTGTGTGCTTTATGCCTCTACATGCCTTGAGCTCACTATATTTGTGAATATTTTTTTTTGTCTTCTATATTCTGCAATAAAGTGTCATGGGTAATGCATTTGGCTTGTGTGCCCTCTTTGTTTTTTATGTTTTGCACACTGTTAGATTCCCCCAATCTGAGGAGGGCTGCACCACCATTTCTTTCCAGTCCTGGTTGCATAAGAACATGTGACACATAGTTATGTACTGGGTGCCTCTACCAACTTCTCAGCCCTAAAGTGTCAAGTCTAAACTTTTTTCTTTAAATTGCTGGCTATGCCAACGGCTTTGTAGTATGCATCTTTAATAGTAATGATTATCTGTAAATACGCATTGTAATTCACATTACCAAAAAAAACCAAAAAACAATCCATTGTACATCTGTAAACATTGAAAATCTATGCCAGCCAAATAACCAAATGTTACATGCCACTATAGTCAACATTAGGTCAGTAGACAGTGATCAAATACACATTCAGATGTGGTTAGAGGCCAATCACATTTTCTGGCTTTGTATCTGTGTGTGACTATTCAGAGCTATATTTTTCATTTATGTAACCTCAAATATTACCCAGAGAAAGGTAAAATGGCTTGGCTGGTCATAAAGATTCATTCTGTGATGCTAAGAATGTATATCCATTACTGATGATCAGTTTGATACCTGTTGCTGGAGAGCCTGAATCTGGCGACTAAACTGAGCCTTTACGGATTCCTCTTCATCCAAGTTCTCCATTAGGTTATTTTTCTCCTCTTCCAACTGTTTTACCCTGGAGCTTAAGTTTAGCTTTTGTCGTGTTTCCTCTTGTAGCAACTCCTGCAAAAGTATTTTAAAATAAACGGAACCAGTTAGGGGAAAATGAAACATTGTGTGTAAGGCCTCATTCACATGTGCGTACTTAAGCGTAATCCTGTGCAAGGACCATGGTTGTCTGCACCGGATGCATGGGTGTTCCATGCCTCCGTGTGCAGGTAGTCCCAAGCTTGTTAATTGGGACACAGCAGCTGTATGGACACAGCTCCGCACAGATCTGAGTATGTGCGGTTATGTGTCTCTAAATCCAGACAGTATTAGCTCAAGGACAAGCATCTGCATCCACGTGGATGTCAAATTGGGAACAGTGGCTGTGTCCAGGCAGCCGCTGCTTTAAAATTGACATGAATGGGACTGCCTGCATGTGGATGTACAGAACACCTCTGCATCCTGTGCAGACAAACATGGCTATAGCACTGAAATACACCCATGTGATTGAGGCCTAATACAGTAACAAGACAACATAATGGCAAAGAAAACAAAAAGATGAAAAGAACGAGTAACATACATGGGCATCTTGCAGCTGTGACTGCACTGTTGATAGGTCTTTGGTTAGTTTGATAGACTTGCTTTCTGTTGATCCCAGCGTACCAGATATGCCATCTAATTCAGCCTGTGGAAAGGAACATGACACAATGAGTTTTGCTATGTAAAACGTAAATGCCTTAATACACAAGCACTGCCTAACACTTTAAAAGTGCTTGCTCACACTGAAAATGTATAACTGTACGGTAAATTTATTTCTAGAAAACAAAAATGCTAATTGCAGCCTCACCAGTCAAAAATTAAAATGAATAGACAGGCATTCCTTTTAAGATGCTGGAGATTTCAGTATTTAGAGTCACACAGCTAACTCTGTACCATTTTAATCCAATCATTGTGGAGTGTGTCAAGACAAATGTTGACTGTCCAAGAATATGATGGCAGACTTTGTTGGACAAACATAATCTGCCTTAACACACTCTATGGTGATTGGATTCAGGTAAATAGGTTACCCAAGTGGCTATAAATGTTGGGGTATTTTCCTGGCAATCATTAGAACTGGAGAAGCTATTTGGATATTACCAATGTTTTACATTAGAGAAGAAGTCCAGCTGAGTGTGACAATACAAAGTTGATGGCACAGAGAAGAAAACAAATATGTTTGAAAAAAATGGTTTAGCAATTCTGTATAACTTATATTGATATCATGGTATTTGACTTCAAAGCTAATGTGTGCTTTCTATTATCAATAGATGACTTGGTATCCCTGGCATGCACACATTTCATTGGTTTCACCAGAAATGAAAACTTGCCTGCCTAAACTGAAGACATACCAAAGCTTTAAAGCAAAGTATTTGACTGTCCAAGAAAGTAATCAGTGTGGAATGTACATACTATCAGCTGTTTCAAATTCACTTCCTTGTTCCCTAAATGTTCCCCCCCAACCTGACTAAATAAAAATAAGGCTAATATGAAACTTTAGATTTTTTGTCTTTAACCCCCCCCCCATGTTTGTTGCCACATGGCAAGAGCAGTTTCACATGACTCTCCCAAAAAGGGACAGCCACGTGACATGTTGACAGCCTGGACTCACTTTGTGCTATGTGAGTGGTGAAATGGTGGCATCCAATGGGAAAATAGCTGGCTATCTAGACTTTATACTAGATGGTGATATTCAAAGTGAAGAAATCCAAGAACAGGAGGGGCAGATCGTGCAAAAACATGATGTATGATGAATAATATTGATGTGACCTACATCTGTCAAGGTTGCGAGTGACCTTTGGGTAATGGTAACTGCAACCTAGTAAGAGCGCTTGTGGAGATTATAGCAGTCTCTTTGCAGAGAGATGAAGGTCACTCTCAATGATCAGATTAGGTCCAATCCTGTTTTGCTCAGAGATTGTCAAAATGGGAAAAACAAGTCCATATCTAAGAAAAAAAAACTCAACAGGTTTTTTTTCATTTGATACTAAACTGGCTTTAGGGACTGCTCCAATGAGCTGAATAGTTCATAACTGTCAAAGGCTTCTGTAAACCTTGGTGAAGGAAGGGTCATTTTAAGAATGTCATTATAAGTGAATTTGAGTCTTAGTCTGACATTCAAATAATCCAATGAAGAAAAAAAGCATCCAAGAGGCACTGGGACTTTGACATGAGTTCATACAAAGTAGTCAGACAAAACCTTCGGCGTGCTCACTGGCTCAGGCTAGGCAGCTCATAACAGATAGGGCTTACCTCCTTTGGGTACCCGACAGGTTACCAGAAAAAAAGTATGCACCAATGGAAGGAGCATCGAACCAAATGATAAGAGTCAAAATGTATTTATCAGTTTACAATGAAAGAAAAGTCTTTATCAGTGCATCAGTTGAAATATGAAATTTGAATGGACTCAAAATAGGGATTTCTTGTGTGAACCTATGTAGGGAAGCTAATTGCTGGATTATGAGAGTTACTAGCTTGCAGCATCATCGTGAGCAATCTCGATCGAATAATAACTGCATAGCAGGAAGCGTTTGGTGGTCAGATAACCATGTTACTATACGGGGAACCTGAAGCAGGGGTCTATTTTTGTACAAAGTGAAGAACCTCTTTAAGGCTTAATAGGGACATAATTATTTTACTTAAAGATTTATGTAATATCACAAGCAATAAAAGATTAACCAATTTGAAAGTGTATTTTATACCCTAGACTTAGTAGATCACATTATGTATAAGTCACATTTACCTGTACTTTCTGCAGCTTATCTGCCAGCTCAGCCTTGATCTTCTCACTTTCAGATGTTCGGATCTGAAGCTCGGACACCTGGCCTTCTAATTTTTTCCTCTTCTGTTCAGAATCCTGTTTTTGCTACATGAAGATTCTTAACTTCTTTTACCAGGTCAGCATTCTCACCCTCTAGGGTCTGCTTCATCTTCTCTAGGTTCACCTTGAACTGCAAATGTATACAATACAAAAACTGTAACACATCTGGTGCCCAACATACTATATTAGTAATTTCATTTGACAAGTATACATTACTGGTTCATATTTATTAAGCAATGTTGGTCATTTACATAGCTGAAAAAAATAAAACAAATTTAATATGTTTTAATATGTTTCTCTCTTTAATACTATCCTGGTCCTTCCAATCAATAATTATAAGAATGAATATTCTCACAATGAGCATCAAATAGCAGATAGTACGGTTATCAACTATGGAGACATTGTTTTCAATGGCTTTCTTTTACATGTTAGATACGCACACTACAGGACCAGCAGAAGGATTCAGTACCCCTGGAAAGAGCAGGGGAATGGGGCTCAGGTTTTTCACAAGGAGACTAAGGATTTCTAACTCTTAACTCTGTTCTCATTCTCAGTATATCAAAATTTAAAGTAAATTTTATCAACTATTTGGACTAGATACATTTTAAACCCACTGGAAGAGCAAAGCACGTTGCACAGGGAAATGCATGTAAGACTACAAAGTATGCTCCGATCTTATGAAGGTTAAAATTGTGGAAGATAAGATGAAAACTAATAAATGTATAATCATTTTACAAAAACTTTGCAGTAGAGGAATAGTAGGGTTCTCAACATATATTCCCAATTTCTTCTTTCTTGTTTTCCACCCTCTTATCCCTCCCCACCCCCCCCCCCATTCCTTTAACTTTTTCCTATCCTTCTTTTCTATCAACCCCCCCCCCCCCCCACACACACACACACACTCACACACTATTTTTGGGGGAATTGTGGATATACTCGGGTAAGCCCTTGCTTTTGGTCTTGGCTTTTCCTAGAGGTGTCTCTGTTGGTTATATTTACATTTGTACACATATTCATTATTATTTTTACTGCAGCATGCTTGTGTCTCCCTCTCTCCTGAAGAAGTGGGTCAAAACGTGTCAAGACAATACAATACAGCGGTTCCCTTTGTGATATTCCGCCAATATTAAAACAACTGTGAATTTAAGGTTAAATACACACTGTATGTCAAATTGAGGGATTAATAGTGCATCTTAAAGGATAAGTTCACTTTTTGACCAAAAATAATAAATGCACATTTTTTGGCAAGTAAAAAAAAATTATCATTTATTATTTTTGGTTGCAGGAGTCTGTAAAGGATGCAGACCTGTCAGTATATCTGCTTCCTCCTCACGGGATGTATGGGCAAGCAGACATACTGACAGGAAGATTCAGTGAACTACCACAGCACTCCACAGCGCCATGGTAGTTCATTGAGGACTACAAGCCAACAGCCACTAAGGCTGTCGGGACCTGTAGTCCATTTTTTCACAGAACACTGTAAATGAATGATGCGACCGCTTGGGCAGAGCCCTGCACAGCCGTGCTGTTTTTAAAAAGTGACAGCTAGTATGGGGGACTTCTCCCTGTACTTCTGTCACAGAGAGGGGGGCAGGGGAGCAGCAGCTACAGTATTGGGAATATGTTACACGTTGCATCCTAAAAACGGGAGGAACATGTAACATGTTCCCAAAGGTGAACTTATCCTTTATTAGACATACTCAACTATGTATGGTGAGATACTAGACGGATTTATCAGTGTAAGAGAGCTACATATACTCCTGTGGAGAATCACTTACAATTGTACTGTTTTAAGTGTAATAACACAAATGCTATAATTCTTTTTATGAGTCCTTTTCTTGTATGAATACATTTTGTTACACATATTAACAGTTGTATAGTTGTTCCGAGCGCACCATTTAAAGTCAACTCTTCTAAGAACACCTATGTATATTCAATATAGGATGCAGTGCTCATATAGGTATATACAGTCCCTTCTAAATGGAATATGTTAGATTTCACAAATAAAATTCTAAAGCTAGATTGACATGGGTACTGGAGAAAGAAAAGTATTTATTGTCTGTGTTGTTGGAACAATGATCCACCATCTTTCAATGGTGGAGGGTTCTGCCAGCAGAAACAATGTATTGAATGTACTGGGCTGTGGCCCAACTATATCCTTACTACTCCAACTGGTTATATTTGCACTGAACCTTTTGGCTTGGTACTCTGAAGAATTAGCCTGTTGCTTGAGAAGCACCTGGTGGGAGTCAGAACAGGCCACCAAGCATGAATCATTTAAAATGTATTGAATTGTTTCTCTAGCATATGATCAAGAATCAGACATCTGTGGTGCAAAACAGTTATTTCAAGTTTGCACACATACCCTGCGTGATTGTTCCAGTTGTTCTGAGAGATCATCCAGTGCCTGTGTGTGTCGCTGTCTTATTTCCACAATCTGAGATTCATGGACTTTGGTCTCTTCTTCAATTGTCTTTTTAAGATCTGTCACTTCTAGTTCACGTTTTGTCCTAAACAAATCAAAATGCTTGAAAATCAACATTGCTTTAAACAAAGGCTCTAGTCGCAACAGGTACATAAATATCTGTTTTCTTTTTATGTACACCCAGTACTTGGTCCCGCAATTGGCCACCACTGAAATTTCTGAGGTCATATCTACAAGCCTACAGAAGCACTGCAAGGCAATAAAGCAATAAAGAGGGGACCAAATACATTTGTAGCTACTGCCTGGTGTTCTTAAGAACACATGTAATTTAGCAGTAAGTACAGTACTGTTAAGGTGGAGGGTAGAGAGTTTTATATTTTTTCCAGATTCATTGCTGAATTAATCTTTGAATTTTGAAAAACAACAGATTTAAAACCTGTTCCCATCCTCCTAGTGTATACTTCCATGCCAATTAACTATAACTGTGGTAGGACTAAGAAGTTAGGTTGTGTTGGTGTTTCAGGTTATAATACTGCATGAACACACAAAATCTTAATAATATCACAGGGCAATTGCCAGGATCAAACACTAACCTAAAATGATGATGATAATGATGTATTTAAACCCCCATAATCTATAAGTTTGTATAGCTAATGATCAGAGAATTGTGCTAATGTTCACCTAAGTTCTTGTTGTGCAGCTGTGGAATCTAAAGTGTCTTCAAGCTCAGACTTCAGTGCCTCCAGCTCTTCCCCGAGGTCCCGGCGCTGCTTCTCTGCCTTTGCTCTTGCAGCCTTTTCAGACTCTACATCTTCTTGTAATTCTGAGAGCTGAGACTGTATTTCCCGAAGCTGTTTCAGCAGATTGTTCTTCTGTGCTGCTTCCTCTTCAACTCTAAAATTAAACAAAATTAAAATACATATTATATACACCCAAAGGATAAGCCACCAAGGGCTTACTGCCATCTATAGGATACATGACCACTGCTACAACATCCACCTTCCCTAATGTACCTAGCAAGAGCTGCCTGGAGCTCTTCTTCCTTCCGCGCCAGTTGCTGTTTCAGTTCTTCAATTTGTTGTTGAAGCTCTAGAATCTGATCTTGTAAGTCAGATGTTTCCCCATCAAGTTTCCTTTTTAATTTCTCCATCTCTTGTCTGCCTTTTTCTTCCTTCTTGAGACGATCTAAAAGGTTATGAAAATAACATCATAATTTGTTTTTGGATAACATCACTGCTTAAAGGATAACTGTAAGTTCACCTTTAAAAAAAAAAAAAAAACAATAATAAATGCACATGGTTTTGCTGGTAAATAAATGTGATTTACTATATTTTTCTTTGGAGCCTGTAAAGCATTGCACCCGCGGTCAGCAGATCACTGGTGCAATGTATGGCTACTGTAGTGTAACTATCTGCCTGTCCCTCCAATAAGGGCAGGCGGTTACTGAATGACAGGAAGCTCAATGGACTATGAGAGCACTCACCAGTACCTTTGCTGTTCATTGAGAACTACAGTCATCAGCCGCAAAGGCTGACAGATCTTGTAAGCATTCATTCACAGAACTCTGAATGAATGATGCAGCCATGTGGGGGAACTCCAACAGCCACATTCTTTTCAAATTGTGACTGTGGGTGTGGGGAGCGAATCCCCGGCCCCCTGTCACAGGGAGGGGGGGAAAGGGGGGAGAGCTGCAGGAGTGGGAAGATGTTACCTGTTCCACCCTAAAAAAAGAGGAGGGGATATAACATGTTCCCAAAGGTGAACTTATCCTTTCATTAATGATATGTTGCAGTTAAAGATTAAAATATATAAAAGAATTCCTATAGCAGTGTTTCCACTTAGTCACTGGCAGCTTCATATGCTGACCAGCCCTGAGGTTGAAACCATGTCTTTGGAGTGTGGGAAGAAACCAGAGTACCCAGAGGAAACCCTTGCAGGCACAGGGAAAACATGCAAACTCCATGCGGGTAGTGCCGTGGTTGGGATTTGAACCAACAACCCTAGTGCTGCTAGGCAGAAGTGCTAACCACTTAAAAACTGTGATACACATTTTTGTTTACACCTGAGTGCTCAGAGCTGCCAAAGGTTGTGTTATGGTTAAAACCCAAATGGTGGAGTTTTCTTTACAGTCCTGCCATGTGAATGGGCATTTCAAAGTCATGTCTCCTTTTTGAGAGGTATGCACTTAGTTGAAATTCATGCCTAAAGTTTACATGTTTGTACTTAATACTTAGGAAAGGGGGTGATCCTAGAAGAGCTAAAGGTGATCAATTAGTGTGGGGTTTAGAGAAGGTGACAACCAACGTTCACAACCATGGCATGTCTAGACTATCAAGGAAGAAAACAACTGAGAGGTAAGGGAAGCTTTGCAATAGACAGCACAGGGAAAAGTTTAATAATTATTATTAATTAAAATCAGTAATTTAAAGCAGAACTTTACCCATAAAAACTTGTTAAAAAAAATATTATTTAGCAAGGCACATACATTGCACATTAATAATTATGCTACAAAAATTAGCGTGTGCTGTAAATTCCCTCCAGCATTGTTCCTGTTTCTTTTTGCTGGAGTCTGCACTTTTGCTGAAACCCTGAGCAGTAGTAAATCTTTTGACTGTCAGTAGATCGGCCTGTACATTTTCAGCACAGTATATTATCCAAGGTTTATTGTAGGAGTGAAAGAATAATAAAAACATACTCACAGACGAAGCATGTATCTAAAAAGCATAGAAAAATGACAATGGCCACAACGGCAGGCAAGGTGTTCTCACTGTCAGTGCGGTCAAATGGCTGACACCATCCCACACAGGCATCAACAGCAAGGCTCCTACTTTCCATTCATTCATCAGCTCTGAGGAAAGGGATTTGTCCCCAAAACGCGTCAGCCATTTGAGAGCACTGACAGTGAGAACACCTTGCCTGCCGTTGTGGCCATTGTCATTTTTCTATGCTTTTTAGATACATGCTTCGTCTGTGAGTATGTTTTTATTATTCTTTCACTCCTACAATAAACCTTGGATAATACACTAGGTGTGTGCGCCACCTGTTTTCTCTCTATCCAGTGGCTGATTTCCCTGTCTGAGGAGGGCTGCACCCCTGAAGCATTTCCTTTGGTTGTCGCTGTCCTGGTACCCTTGGCTTCCCTTTTGGCTGTGCATATCCTGAGGCACTGGAGAGTACATACGATTTTCAGCACAGTGCTGAAAAATACAGAGCAACTGAGCATGTGCAGGGCAGGGTAAGACTGTATTACTGGATTTTAAACAGGCAAGGCATTTATTTTTAATGTTTTAAATAGCTATACATGTAAAAGGGGCAAGCCTGAAGTGATCTAGCAGGGCTAAATTTCTGACTAAAGTTTCACTTTAGAGACTGTATGGGGTTGATTATTAAAAGTGGAGAGTGCAAAATCTGGTGCAGCTCTGCATAGAAACTAATCAGCTTCCAGTTTTTATTGTTAAAGCTTAACTGAACAAGCTGAAATTATCAGCTCATTGGCTACCATGCACAACTGCACCAGATTTTACACTCTCCAGTTTTAGTAAATCAACCCCTATACGTCCTGGCACATATTCCTGGTATTTGAGAGATCATACAGAGACATAGTTCATAGTTATCACTCTGACAGAAAATCTCTCAGACCAACATGATCACTATACCATAAAGTAAAAGTAAATCCTAACTAATTCTAAACCCACTCTAGGCCACATTCTAATCTTAATCTATCTAGCCCTGTAAAGAAAAAAATCACTATACATACCTGTTCTGCAGCTGCTCTGGTCCGGTCCCACGGTGAGCTGTCAGTGGCAGCTTCACTCTGTAGGAATGTGCAGGACAGGCAGCCGACAACGGAAGCCCCATAGTAACTCTAGGTGTAAAGTCACTTCCCAGGCATTTCCTAGCCGCTGTCAGCTGTCTCCATTCACAGAAGGTGCAGCCTGAGACTGGACCGAAGTTAAGTATAGCAACTTTTTCTTTAGAAAGCTAGATAGATTAGGCTTAGAATGTGGCAGAGAGTAGGCTTAGAGTTGGTTAGAATTTGCCTTTACTTCCACTTTAAAGTACCATGCTCACTATATCTTAAAGAATTTTTCTTCCCTCTAAGCACTCAAACTCAAACAGAGCATGACATTTTCCAGTAAATGAATAATAAAGAGTATTAAACATTATGTGTTCGCCTGGCTTTTAGAGAGTACATACAGTAATATTGTTTTCCTACCTTCCATATCTGCAATGACAGCCTCATATTTGTTGCGAAGTTTGCTCAGACTCTTTATTTTCTCTTCTTCTTCAGCCATATTACTGGTAAACTCAGAAATACGATCTTCCATCAACTTTCGTTCCTGTAACAATCCAATAGTGAAGGTGTGATTTGCATGGCTGCATTCCAAAAATATGTAACTATATCCATTTGCCTCACTTTAAATTTATTTTATGACAAAACGGTCTCAACACACTATGAGTCAGAATGCCATTGGTCTGGGCAAGGCCTTAGCCCCAATGTCCTAGTAAATCCAAATACACAAATACACTACGTAATTCACCTATGAAAAGCCAAAAATGCCTAAAACACAACATGATTGCCTGTATGTTCTAAAAGGCAACAACTTACATTATGTATATCTAACCTGTAAACATAAGTAGGATTTCATCATTGCTATAAAAAACATGGTAACATGGTTCATCATTGCTATAAAAAACATGGTAACTATCTTGATATGTATTTACTCAACTTCACATAACTCAGCAGGCACTCTACTAACATATCCAACAGTTAAAGTGGTTCTAAAGGCAGGATATATTTTGAATGCATTCCCTGCATAAAGGTAAAAATGTCTCAGCAGTAGTATCGCCTGAATCCTATCTTGGTCCAGTGCTTTGCCAGTCTTCAGCGGCGCTGGTCTCTGTTCCCCTTCTTAGTGGGCAGAGAGCCAGCAGCAGGAGCCATTGGTTCCTGCTACTGTCTATCAAATCCTGGAAGGAGGGAGCGGGGCAACAGGGCCGAGCCAAGCTATGTGTCTATGGATGCACATAGCCTGGCTTAGAAGTGAGCCCGCAGGTGTGCTCTCATAGCAAGAGGCTTGCTATGGGGGACACACTTAGAAGAGGAGAGAGAGTACTGGCAGCTGACCCCAGAAGAAGATATTCGGAGCTGCTCTGTGCAAATCCCTTGGCACAGAGCAGGAAAGTATACCATATTTATTATTAAAAGAATAACATTTACAGCAGCTTTAACTACAATACACTGTACTTCTTGTGGGACTCATACATGAGCCACTGAATTTGGGTGTCAAACCTGGCCCTCTATGGATCTCAGAGACAATCTCATATGCCCCCACTGCTTATAAACCTGGGTGTCATACCTTGCTGAGTTTAGCATTCTGGTCCTCTAATAGAAGAACATCTTCTTCCATCTTTTTCAGCTTGCCTTCAGTTGTTACTTTCTCTAGTTGAAGTTTCTGTCGAGCTGCCTCTTCTTCTTCTAATTGTTCCTCTAAATCCTGAAAAAAGCATTCACAATGAGGTTAGAAAACAAACTAAAATTAAGTGACCTTTTAGTTTAATGCATTTCACTTATAATTAGGAAGTAGCACACAGTCCAAAGAGGATCGAACAGCCCATTTCATGATATCAGGAAATACCTGATGATCTGCAAAACTTCTAATATCACTACTGTATCGTGCATGATGCATATGGTCTGGCTTCTATATAGTGGGATGAAGTGAGAAATAAAAGAGCCAAAAAAGCAGAGTGGGCCTCCAAGCATATCGCCAGCCCAGTATGGAAGACTTAAAGGATGCAAATAGCAGCTGCGGACAAGAGTGCCCACAAGCTACAAAGCTACCTCAGAAATGCACAACATATTTTAATAGATTTTCATCCAGACCTTTACACTGCAGGGACAAGTAATTCTTTTCTTCTGGCTCATCCACAGCTTTAAGACTTGCTGAAAGGCTTAATCTGAACTGTGTCAGCCAATTACGCCATTTGTCTGAACTTTCATTGAAATATATTTGTTATTCGTAGACTCTGAAACAATGCCACCCCCTCACCATTAGGTGGGAATGCAAAGAACTTTAGGGATCCAGCACCATTTATCCATTTCTACAAGTACCCACACAATATAGACATGTTAAAAGGCCATACAGGGCCAAACCAAAGGTGGAAATGTCAGAGGGAGATTCTTTGCCCCTTGTTTCTTCAATTATGCTGTTTGTTTCAAAAAAAAGGTTAAGCAAAAATTTAAAATAATATATAATTAAAAGGGTATAGTGATAGAGTCACTATATAGTATAGGAATCTACAGGCACCTGCACATAGCTGCAGCAGTTCTCCTTCACCTATGCTGCAGCTGAATATCAGGCCATGCTGAATGGGCAAACTTTCTATTAGCCAAGGAGACAGCCTATTATAGGGATGTATGTTTGGGAAGCAACGGGGGGAATGTGAGCAGCAATCCCCTACACTACCCAGAATTGTTGGAGATTTGCCTATTAGGAAAGGCCTGACATTCAGGCACATAAAGGGGACAGCAAAGCCTTTTGCAAGTGAGTGCAGGCATTTTTATGTTCCTTCACTTTATACCTGCTAAAAGCTTTTTTGTATTAGGTGACAGAGTTTATTTAAAGTAAACCTAACAGAAATGTAATATGTGGACTGCCATGATTGGCCTCCTTTTGAAATTGCTAGTTGCCTGGCGTGACTAGACAAAAACTCTGAATCACTGTCCCAAACAAACATGCAGCAAATGTAAGTCAGAATAATAAAGAATATGTTATCTCTATACATGTTCTGGGTAAGGATTCAGAAAGTATTAAGGCAAAAGCATCATTATGACAGTTAAACTATACTGTATATATTACTTCTGCTTATATATTACTTTCATGACAGGTGAAATCCACCCCTGCCCCTTTTTTATACTTGCTCTGGAAAGCCTAGCAATGTACGAGAAACCCGGAATTACAAACATATATGAAACTTCCTCCAGCAGCATCACGTAGCAAAACAGAACTGTTTTCACTGCAGAATATTAAAAGCTTGGATTATATAATATACTGCATATAGGGTATAGAATAAATGATAATGCCGACACCTTACCTGTACATGTGTCTGCATCTTCTTCTTGTCATTTTGCAGCTGCAAATTCCGCTCTTCCTCTTCCTCTACGCGGGACTCTAAATCATGTAATATTTCCTCTAGCTCTTGTTTCTTTGCTGAAAGTCTAGCTCTCATCTCTTCAGCCTCTGCAAACAGCTCTGTCTCTGCCTGCAACTGTTCTGCCAAAATCGACTTTTCTTCCGCCAACTGGAAACAGAAAGTAAAAAGTTAAAGTATTATAGCATCCTACAATAGCACTGGTAATGTAAAAATCCATAGGGCAAGTCATGTTCTCTAGCTTCACGCTGGTAGATGAAAAAAAAACAAAAAAACAAAACATCATCTATGTATTCATGTATTTTGTGCTTCTGCTAGCTATAAACCTTTATTTTTCTTCCCTCAAACTAAGGGCTTGACTTCTCTGACTTCATGACTAAAGCTAGGCATACACAGTTACTTTTTTTAGTGCAGCCAGTGCGCTCCATATACAAGGTGGATGGAGGAATCCTCTGTGCTGGGACATTGTATTCTCACAGCGGCAGAAGCAGCTGATTGATTGCCGTTGTTAATTGACGGAAAACTATTCAACATGTCTCTTTGACAGAAGCTGATCAAATGATTGACTTCTATTGAGCGGGGATGACCAAACACTGATTGAAGTTTCGATCAGTGTATGGCCAGCTTATGCCACATCAACTGCTATTCCCCTGTACAATGAAAAGTTACCATTACTTGTTCTCAGTGGATGGGCAGGGTGGCAATTGATGGAACTTAGGCCTGACATGAAGAAAATTTAGTTAATCTACCTTAATGGGGCACATAGGAAAGGCGGTTCTAATATGACACAGACAACCAGAAGTCTGCTCTTATTTTTAAAAGTATATAATGGCTGAAAATTTCACTTTCATGGAAAAATAGAAAAAATCTATATACTGGATATACTGTTTTAATATTTTACAGGAAAATAAGTAAGGAACTCAAGTCACAACAGTACCAGCTGGAATACATTCAGACTGTGCTATGTAGGTCTGTCCATACTGGGAGATTTGCTCAATATAACAACACTGACGTTGCAGTAATGACCTTACCTGCTGGTATTTGCTTCCCATGTCCTTTAGCTCTTGCTCTGTCTTTACTTGGTAATCTTTCACCTTCTGCAGTTCAACTACCTTGGCCTGCATTACTTCATCCTGTCGGGTCACTTGCAGCAATGGCTTAACCTGGCAAAGTAATCATAATCTTTAATAGACATTTCTTTAATTCTTTAAAAGACATCATCTTTAATAGACATATAACACTCAGTCACACCATTGCTCAAAATTCAGAGTAAAAGTACATTTAATTTACAAGGCAAGTGTATCAGCTCTGAAGAGAAGTATGCCCCGCCATTATTTTTGGAAGGTCCATTTTATTGTCTGATTGCACTGTCTATATTGTAGATACTGATTATCAATAATTATGCAGAATGAAAGGCTTAAGTGACTGGATACAGTCTGAATGGATTGTTTAGGTAGGTCACAGCAAGATAGGTATCATGCAGAAGAGCAGAAATCTGGTATCTAGGATAAATGTTGGTTGGAGACAGGGGCGGACTGACCATTTGGAAACTCGGCACTGCCCGAGGGCCTGGGGTCAGTAAGGGGCCCCATGAGATGCCCCTGGTACCTTTTTCATAGGCTTTTTTGAGTTTGGGCAAGGACACAGGGGCCCCATGATCCCCTATTGCCCGGGGGCCCCATGAGTTGTCAGTCCACCCCTGGTTGGAGATAATAATCCATGGGATCACTGTAAAACTATTTCCTGGTATTTTAGATAAAATATCCATTGCAAAAGCAAATGGGTAACAGTCCTAGGAATCTAGGCCTTCCTGCTAGATGCAACAAGTGAACATAAGCTGTGTCAGGGTGGGTAGAAGACAAAGGTTTCTTGTTAATAGCACTTGTTTACCCTCACCAACATGTAAGGATGGTATAACAATGAAGTAGATTTAAGTCAACAACACCAGAATTATCAGCATCATAAAAACCATAATAAAAATAAAATAACATGTCACAACAGTATACCTTAGTAAAGAGTCTCCACCACTGCCAATGTCTAAGCTTGAGGTATGCAGCACAGTTCCTCTGCACCACCTTCAAAGCACTCATTTGTTGCTGTTTCTTTATAAAAGCTCTAAAAAAAAAAAAAAAAGTTAGTATGTTTGTGTGGGGAAATTCAAGATTTTTATACACTGTAAATACCAAGCATTAAACACAAAAGGTTCTATTTATGAAAAACAAAATACTTTGGGAATGTCTCAACACTCCTGGAAAAGTCACAAATAATTCCCATAATGTTTAATATGTGTCAAATGTCAGTTTCTATTTGTTGCCTTTATAGCATGAATGTGACATTCCCCGACAGTTAACCCTAAGAGAAAATAGCCTTAAAGAACATAAAACCAAAAGAGAAACTAGCCTAACACTATAGGCTAAAAACATTTGACTAGAAGAGGAAATATGAGGGAGAGCTCTGCACTGTGTATAAAGTATATGGAGATTCCTCTTGCCCTCTAGAGATGAGCTGCAGGTTCAAGCTGAATCTACAGCTGCAGTTGTAAGTGAAAAATGTGTCACTACTAAATGTGAGAGCTTCCTGCTCAAGCCTTCTGATTGTTAGGAGGCCAGCACCTGCAGGTGTCCTAGTGGCATAAAAACAGATGAATGTAAACAAATGGGCAATGATAGTGTAAAAAAAAAAAAAAGATGTGTTTCCTCCCCAAAAAATTCCAGGTGGAGATAACAAAGACTGTATATTAAAGACTGTAAGGACACCCAGCAACTCACTTCCTGGCAAGGTATCCTCGGGCAGCAGCTTGGAAGAGTACAATGATATCTGTAATCTTCAGATCTCTCTCCTCTTCCAGATGAGCCAGCACTCCAGCACGGAAGAATATTTTACTCTGTCCAATGCGATACAGATTGGGATCTAGTTCCAAAGCTTTGATCTAGGATTCCAAAAAAGGGGAATGAACAACTTTTATAAACATTATAAATCAGATATCTATCCCAAAAACCAACAAATGCAAACATTTAAACATTGTAAATACAAAACGACTAAAATAAAATTCACAATCTTTGATGCTGTGCTGCAAATATTAAGATTTACTCTAAAATGCTATAAAAAAGCATTTCATGAACAAGGCAGTGGTAAAAGTAAAGCACAGTAACACAACCATTTAGAACTCTTTTCCTGACTGATATAAATACAGTAAACTGAAATCTTTCCCCAAAATGACTACCCTACTAATATGCATTTAATGATAGGATAATTAAAAGTAGAACTATAGGCAAAACTTTTTTTCCTTTCGGATAGAGTAAAGGAGGGTTATAACCCCCCCTGTCTGTTTATTTTTCACCATCTGTTTGCCATTAAGGAGATTTACCTTCACTTCCTGTCTCATAGCCAAAATAGAAAGTGGAAACCCCTGCAAATTAAGGTAATTCTTTGTGGACCCCAGGTCACCAGAACTAGTGTCCAAATTGGAAAATTTCCCCTCTATTATGTTTCTGGGGACAACCTATAATTTGGGTTTTTTTTTTTTATTTTCACTTTCAATGACAATGGTAAACAGGACAACTAGAGAGGACGAAGCTCCCTAACGGGGGAACAGACTGCAATGAAAACCTAACGTGTTCTAATCCATCGTTACACTGTCCAAGACTAAAAAAAAGTTTTGCCTTTAGTTATACTTTAAATGTCAAGATCTGACAAATCCCTCACATACACTATATTGTCAAAAGTATTGGGCCAGCCCTCCAAATCATTGGATTCAGGTGTTCCAATCACCTCCATGGCCACAGGTGTATAACATCAAGAACCTAGGCATGCAGACTGCTTCTACAAACATTTGTAAAAAAATGGGTCGCTGTCGGGAGCTCAGTGAATTCAAGCGTGGTACCGTGATAGGTTGCCACCTGTGCAATAAGTCCATCCGTAAAATTTCTTGCTATTAATTATTCCACAGTCCACTGTTAGTGGTAACAGAGTATAACAAAGTAGAAGGAACTGGGAACAACAGTAACTCAACCACCAAGTGATAGGCCATGTAAAATTACAGCAGGGTCAGCGTATGTTGAAGCGCACAGTGCCAACTGTCTGAAGAGCCAATAGCTAAAGACCTCCAAACTTTGTGTGGCCTTCAGATTAGCACAACTCTCTATTGTGAGCATTAACACTCTCTATGCACTATAGAGAGATTCCTTGAATGGGTTTCCATGGCCGAGCAGCTGCATCCAAGCCTAGTATCACCAAGTGCAATGCAAAGCATCGGATGCAGTGGTGTAAAGCACGCCACCACTGGACTCTAGAACAGTGGAGACATGTTCTCTGGAGTGACGAATCATGCTTCTCTGCCTGGCAATCCGATGGACGTGTCTGGGTTTGGTGGTTGCCAGGAGAATGGTACTTGCCTGACTGCATTGTGCCAAGTGTAAAATTTGGTGGAGGGGGGATTATGGTGTGGGTTTGTTTTTCAGGGGTTGGGCTTGGCCCCTTAGTTCCAGTGAATGGAACTCTTAAGACATCAGCATACCAAGACATTTTAGACAATTTCATGCTCCCAACTTTGTGGGAAAAGTTTGGGGATGGCCACTTTCTGTTCCAACATGACTGCTCACCAGTGCATAAAGCAAGGTCCATAAAGACACGGATGAGTGAGAACTTGACTGGCCTGCACAGAGTTCTGACCTAAACCTGATAGAACACCTTTGGGATGAATTATGCGGAGACTGTGAGCCAGGCCTTCTCGTCCAACATCAGTGCCTGACCTCACAAATGTGCTTCTGGAAGAATGGTCAAACATTCCCATAGACACACTCCTATACCTTGTGGACAGCCTTCCCAGAAGAGTTGAAGCTGTTATACCTGCAGAGGGTGGGCCAACTCAATATTGAACCCTACGGACTAAGACTGGGATGCCATTAAAGTTCATGTGCGTGTAAAGGCAGGCGCCCCAATACTTTTGGCAATATAGTGTATCTTCCTGTTAGACACTGAAAAGAACCACACACCCATGGACAAAATCCATACTTTTCTTTCCTCTAATATTACGAGTGAGTCCCTTATCATTAAACTCTGCTATGTGAGTTTATGAATGTCAAATAATAATTATAGAGATAAAGCGCTAAATTAATTTATTCACAGAATGAAAGTATGCAATTTCTTACCATTATTGCACAAGCTTGTTTCCCATCCATAAATCCTTTGGGGATAGCATTTGGTGTCAAAATCTCATATCTAAATTTAAGAGCAGAATTTATTGTACGTTAGTACCACAATAATATCAGATCTGGATTCTCAGGTTTCTTGCACCAGTAATATAACTATTTGGCATGCTATGTGCTTTCGATTGAAAAGCATAGTACATGTGAGCCAAGTCTTGGTAATCTCATTGGTAAGAGATCTGAGTGTATAAATCTACTGTGTGATGCTTCTGAAATACATTCAAGATCTCAATGTACTAATTTTTATGGGTGGGTACTACTGTAGATTAGAGAGTGTACAGAGGCATCTTGACCCTGATGTACACCTTTTACTTATAATGGCAAATGTATGCAAACTGAGAAAAATTACTAAAATATTACATACAGGTTACAACAAGATTTATTTTGCTGGTGTGTGTGTGTGTGTACACACAAGAACATTTTTTGGAGACCGCTCTTACCTTTGCCTGAACTCCTGGAAGATGATCCTGTTTGGGAAGCCTTGTCTACAAATACGGATACCCTCTAGAACACCATTACAGCGCAACTGGTCGAGGACTAGGTGAGGCTCCAGTTTCCCAGCCTGATTAAGAGAAGTGTCAATCAGTACATAGCTATACAGGAGTCATTATATTATCTGTTTTATAACTGTAACCTTGGGGTCACATTACTTTTAAGGACACATTCATACCTGACTGCTTTGGTGCATTGCATTAAGGCAGCCCATTTATTTTGATTTGGCTGGCAATCTATGAATGGAGAATGGGTGGATGTTTGGAAGGTCTGCCTCCTCCATTCATAGATCACATTTTACTTCTAGAAACTGTAGTATGGCGTCTATTTACACACACACACACACACACACACACACACACACACACACACACACACACACACACACACACACACACACACACACACACAATAAATACATTCTTTGTAACTTTAAATTACACATAAAACCTAAAAGAAATACTTATTACATATTGTACATGGATGTGAATGGTGGAAATGTCTTACTCTCTTTTCATGGTTGGGAATGATGCATCGGACAAAGTTGGGGTTGGTGTTTCTTAATGTAGACATCAGCTTAGATAGTGATTCTTTGTAGAGCTGCCCCACGGTGCGGAACATTCCTTTCTTTGTCTTGTATGACGAGCCAAATGCCATATCAGACATACCACTCATCTGGTCAAGTCCCACAATTCTATCCACTGTGGATGAAATAAATAGAAGTGAGGTTTAGACATAAACACACAAATCTGCTCAATAAGTGTGCGCAGAGCAGTAATCCTAAACTACCAATCATTTTCAGCCATGACCTGACCTGGCTGCTTATCAGAGCAGGCAGAATAAAAAATAGCAGATTAGTGGCTATGGCTGTTACCTTATTGAATTAATGTAATGGTAAGTAAATATAAAACTGTGGTATTACTAGGATGCTAAAAAGTTGTGAATACAGAAACCAATTACAGTACTGTACAAAAACTGCACACAAAGACAACAACAAACATGGGTTTATCTAACACAATGCCTAGGAATAGTTTTATGAAAGCCTAAATAAAGGTCCAAAGGCTCATGGGACATATGCAGGGGTCTGCTTACCTCTGAGCATTAACTTTAATCAATTTTGTATGCTAAACTTGTCTTGCAAGCATATTAATATAATGTACTTGTAAAAAATGTTTAGAAGCAAATAACAGCTCATTGAAAAAACATAATTAGTATGCTCATACACAGGAAACAAGGTGGCTTGGGGGTCCTGAATTTTTCGAAGTATATTGTAGCAGGTCAAATAGCATCTGTCACCTCTCTTTATACTACGCAGCAAGCCCCTCCATGGGTCACTTTAGAAACACTTTTCTTGCTCTCTGGTCTCTCCCCACTTGCTTTTGTGGCTCCCCCTCCAAAATTTAGACCCACATCCATTAGCCCTCTAAAGTCTCACTCACTCTGAGTATGGGACTCCAACAAGTATTCCAGTAACCTAATCTCCCCACATCTACCACTTTTCCCCTTCCAGGTAACCCACTGTTTTCCCCAGGCCTTCAGTCCCCTGATGCCTCCCATTGGTGGGTCTCCCACAAACTTCACTGCATCCACTTGTTCTTTACTGTTCGTTCTATTTACACCTGGGCAGAAATCAGAGATAAATATCAAGTCCACCACACTGAACGTTTCCGATTCCTACAAATCAAACACTGACCAACTTCGGTGCTTGCTGATAGAGACCCAATGACCCAACTATCATTATTTGAACACATTGGTCATCAGTTCTCTCCCAAACTTATATCTACTCTCTACTCACAGTTGAATAATGTTCAAAATCCTAACAGCCAAACTTACGTTTCCAGGTGTGAAAGGACCTTAAAAGCACTAAGGATAGGGGAAGCTGGTCACAAATTTGGACCACATTGACTTCCTGCTGCATTAACATCCTCACCACTGAATTAAAACTGTCACAAGGTGGTACCTGGCATCCCATTTGGCACATCTTCACCCATCTGCTCCCGACACCTGTTTCAGGAGTTGCTCTGCTCCAGGAGACATCCTCCACATATGGTGGACATGCCCTATGCTCTCCCGATTGACAAAAGTCCTTAGACAAAAGTTTAGACTTTTTAAAATTATTATTAACCTGCCCCTTCCCAAGAGATCTGTGGCATGCCCTGTTGAACTTGAAATCTCTTGGCCTCACTAAATATCAGTTAAAACTGGTTACCTATGTACTACTGGAGACAAAACAAACAATAGCAATGTGGAAACGACAGTTTATACCATTTACAGAAGTTGAGACTTATTTTATATTAATGATAAGCTCTCCAGTATCCTTTTAGATACACACAAAAAATTCCTTAAAAGATGGACCCCGTGGATCCAATATACATGCTTGATGTCCTTTTCGCGTGCTCTTGATTGTCCTTGATTTCCATTTCCACTTCCCTCTTCTCTCCCCCCCCCCCCCCCCATCTTCTTTTCTTCTATTTTACTAGGCTCTTCCATAGGAACAATTTCCTCTTCTGCACTCCTTTGTTTTTTGTATAGTGAAATTTATATACTGACATCCCATCTACTAGTGCCTATTTCTCTGGTACAGGCGCATGGATTTTTTTTCTCCAGTTTTCACATTGTTTCTATGTTGAAGTATGATTAATGCTCTCTTTGACATACTATATGTTTTGTCACTTGCTACAACTTTTGTATTTGACGTATGACTGCTTTTGACTTGCAAGTCATCGATCTTATGCTCTTATCTGTATAACTGACAGTGGTCACAAGCTGTATTCTTGAAAACTCTTCAATTGAAAATTATTGAAAGTGAAAAAAACATAATTAGAACTGCAGTTGGAGGACTCATCTTCTTGAATGTAAAAACTTAGTATACTTTTAAAATCAATTACATTTTCAAAGGCTGTTTAGTGCTTATGCTTTGAATAAGTAAGCGACCATTGCCAGATATTGATATGGATTTTGGTAAAAGCCTCTGCCAATGAATCAGCATATATTTTTCTCTTCTTTGATATATGTCACTCATGATGTTCATGCAAAGCCATTTCTTTTTGCTTTGAAAGGAGGAAAATAAATGGTTAAGGCCCTTGCTAGTTTTTTTCTGTCTGTCTTTTGTCCAGGAGCTGCCTCTTATTTCTTGTTCCAGAAACACAGCAGGAAGTGAAAGCAGACCTCTCCAAACAAGGGTAATCCCATATTAGGCAGTTGTCACCAGAACAGGTTTAGACATGATTCACACATGAGCGGTGAAGATTGAAGCTCAGGTTTTACAACTAATTGACACAGTAGTTGTTCTGCGGTTCAGGTCAGGTTTACATCAGGTTCAGGACAGGTTCAGGTCAGGTTTTTATCTAGTTCACACATGTGCAGTTTAGAAACGGTTCCCTTAGAAGTCAATAGCCTATAATGGGCACCTGAACAGGATCGCAATGCTCAGAAATCGTACAGGAATCTTTTTCAATCCGCACTACCAGTGCATCGGACATATGTGAACAGGCACCATGGGAAGCAATGTTATTTCACATGTCATGGAGAATGGATGTGGTTCAAACTGCATCTAATCCCCATATATGTGAAGCGGCACTTACTCATTGGAAGATTTTCCCTCACCTTCTGTTCCCACGACAACTCAAAAATGTTGGGTTTCCTATCACTTTCTGTACTGAAGACACATATGACAATAGAAACCTGACAGGGGTTCTCACCCCTGCCCATCCCATCCAAAGTTTTGGCTTTACATGCACGTAAAGTGAGAGCCAAAAGAAATATACTATAGATCAAAGGACTTAACATTTTAGTTTACAAAGCAATAAACTTGGCATGTAAGGAATAAGGAACCTTTCTCTAAACATGGTTGTCTTTGTGAATTTATTTGCCACAATTGCCCAAATATCAACAAATAATACAATTCTTTTGTGAAGATCTAATCACTGCTTCTTCCAAAATTATTTTGTAAGAGACACAGACTCCTCCTAGGTAGAATGAAAACTTGTAGACAAAGGACACATTCCAACTTTTGCTTTTAAAATATTTTTATCATACATGGCTGTATTTAATAACTTACACTCTGCTAGTTCAGCATGACGAACCAAACTTTTAGAAAAAATGAAATATAATGTGCATTTTTAAATATTATTGTTAATTACTACAGCTTGAACTGTAAGTGAATACAAAAGGCCACTTACACCAATGGACTGCATACTGTATGCTCTGGCTTCTTTGACTACAGATGCAACATCTGAGACAGAAAACTGTTCTATACAGCAGCTAAACCCTGGAATAGCATGCGCAAAAATATTACACTAGATGGCGCTAGTAAGCTGGCTAGTTTTAGTTGTATATTTGCAATCTATGGCTTTATTGTCAATTGTTGTCATGCCATTTGTCCTCCATATATGATATCCTTCATTCAAGAAAGGCAGGCTACATTTTAAAAAAATACATAGAAAACTCATTAACAGATGTCAAGTGTAAGATTGCATATATTTGATTTTTCACATAGGATATCCACATTTCCATATTTCTGTACTGCTCTAATGAATACAATTACACTTCTGTGCTCCTTGGAAGCGAAAACATCCAGCTCAGCAATGTGTGAATGGGTGTTTGTATATAACTCTTCCAGCGATCAAGAGAGATTACTTGCCAGTAGTTCTGATGAAACCAATTTTACTACAAATTGTTATGTAATGGTCTACACTCAAATAATAAAGTGATTTTAATGAATTTTTGTTGCAGTGCCTTTAAGGTCTGCAATTTGGCCCCTTATATTTCCTTTTGGTTCATTATACTAGGTTTTACTACAAGCTTCATTAAAGAGGGCAACACAAATAATCCATGAAATCATATTGGTAGCTAGCTGAACCATACTAAAGGGGATAAACGAAGGCTTTGTATATGTTTTACTTTTTAGGTCAGGAATGAAAAAAGTGTATTATTTTTCTTTGGCAAGCATGAAATTGCATAATGTAATATTTTTACAATGTTGCCTGTCTACTTACTGTATGTAAGGCCACCAAGGCAGAAAAATGAGAACTTAAGGGGAACTTGAGACCTCCCTTCCATAGTTGCTGTGTTTGCAGAAGCCTATGGTGACCCCTGCTCTGGGCAAAGATTATAAAAAGCCTTCCAGTGCACATAAATGACATAAGTGAACACTGATTCTATTACTGCCAACCTGATGACATCATCACAATACTCTTGCTTGGAATCCTTACTCCCTGTGGGAATGACAGGACTTTCTGTACTGGGTGTAAGTTACAGGTTACACTTTTAATGTGCATAGGTGGTAGATTAAACAGATAAGCATTGCAATGTTACACTTGATATCTCAGTAAGATTTGCAATAACAATGTATTCACTTTTTTTTATTTTAAGCCTTGACGATATATAGCGTGCCCTGAACAATTCTTTTTAAGGTTCAATAAAGCAGAACAAGAACAGACATAGCTGAAAGCGAGACAGAAATGATACAAGAAAACTGTGTGCAAACATCCATTGTAATACAGAATGCTAGGACTGAATCATTGAGTGTAACGGTGATGAAAATAATATAGAAACCGACATAGAATTAAGAAACCTACTTTCACCTGGCCCTGGGGCAGCACAGCGTAGGTGTCAAAGAAATAAACCGCCTGAATATTCTGGATATCTGAAGGAATGCAGCATGGCAGTGTGGGGAAGGGACATTGGAGTGGCAATATTG